ATAACTTATTATAATCTTTTAATAAACATAAATAAATTATCATTTTTACGCATACAAAATTTCAATAAATAATCATTTTTTGCATAAGTAGCTTTACATTTTTATATATTACTTTATCTGCCAATACTTATATTAAGACCTCAAACAGTATTCAGGGTAATCAAAGCAAGTAATTATTTTTTATTATTTTTAAAACAAAACTTTAGAAAACCTACTTACTTAATTTTTAATCAAAATTTTTGGCAATCACATTAAATCTTACCCACATTTCGAATTGCAGTAATTTTCAATGAAATTATCAAATTAGACAAAAGGTGGCGCTAATGTTTAATGCTGAGGGCTGAGATAAAAAAAAATATGCAATTAAAAAAGTAATTTCACAGCTTCGTTGGAATATATCCATGGGGTTAGTTAGCGCCATCTTTTGGCATAAAGTCCAATTCAATATAGAGAAAATTAAATTAATGACAAATTGAGAAAAGTCACACTTATTAGCACATATAACAATTTTCACTCCTTAATTGAGTGTGTGTATTAATATATGATTATGTGACCTATAGAATTTCCATCAATACATCTCAAAATGTAAGTTGTCTTTGGTAGCTACATAAAGCAAAATTTTAATCGATAGTCGAATCATCACACATTTTTTACCCTTTAAGCACCGTCACCCATACGATAAGCTAAAAACTTTACAAATAATTTCAACACACTTTTGTTCAGATATTTTTTGTTCATTATGACTACACTTAATTCGACTTTGCGTTCTACGCTCTGCATCCCTTGTTTTTAGCACCTCATTCTTTTTTTTTACATTTTTAAAGCTGCACAATTTCACCAGCCGTTAACATTCAGTCTCAGGGTTCCTACGATACAGATGTATAAATTTCCACTAATTATATTTTTTATCTGGTTCAAATATCAACAAAGTCATCTAAAAGTCAACCAACCTTATTTTCATATGCTTTTTTCTTAAATTACATATTTGAATTCTTCAGCAGATATCTGTACAGTCAGCTCCATAAAAATCGAAGTGTGAAGACTGATCAAAATTATCGAAGATACATAAATTCAATTTGTATGCGCTAAGTTTTTTATGCTATCCTACGATATGGGTATTAAATAAAAAGAGAAGCTGGGAATATGGGGGTTTTTAAGTTTTCGATTATATTCATCGATAACTATAATAACTGAAATGACGCCGCGCATACGGCTCGCCGACCGCTGGTTGTCGGTTAGGCGGCACTAATTCAATCAGTTTGAATCCAAACGTGAGACGTAAGCTAGGGTACGGAGAGACGTATACGCGGGAACTGCAAGTTGACCACGCACCGCGGCTCGGGAGCTTGTACCGAGTCGAGACGATTACGTTACGATTCCAATTAGTGTGCGTTGCAGTATGAAGTTTTATACAAAGAATACTGATTGGCTCGAGTAGATACGGTGGCGATCCCTTTCTGTGTTGATATGTAGGCTATACCCTTAATTTTATTTAAATTGAATAATCCATGTAAGCGAAGATATTTATGAGTACTCTAGACGCTTAGATACCAATGAACAGTTACGACGCATACATATTAAAGATCATTGTAATGGTGTATATGTATTTGGAGGCTTTTGATCTGAAGAAATATAAAACACTGGTCGGTTGTGTATAATACTTAGATGACTTTAAATGCAAAGATATGATTGAACCTTTGCTGTTTTTATATTTGACCACCTTATTACCTCATATTATTACGAAGCTGACTGTGCCCCAAGCAGGAACAACTAGAGAGAAGTATTCGTATCGCCACTTTCAACAATTCCAAGGAGACTAAACAGCTCCTCTATCGGGCATAAGAACACACTAGCTCCTTCCATAGAAACTTTCATTCCGATTCGAACACTTTCTTGCTAGTTGTTCGTGCTTAAGGTACTACTGTATTTACTGTGACTCAAGTTTATTAATTCAGTGCAGCAATTATTTTAATCAAATGAGGAAGGTTGATTTTTTTGATGGTCAGTTGATAGATATTTATTTTATTGTATAAATTAGTAAGACACTACATTACCAAGCGAATGAAGGTACAAAACACTCCTTTAAACTATCGACAATAACACAATAAAGGCAATTATCAGTTTGATCCTGTAATAAAATTATTAATGGTACTTAATTATGGCGGCATTCAGAGATGTCAATTAATTTTAAGGTTTGATAATAGTTGACGCTGTCAGAATAGAATGAGACATCATAATTATCATTTTTGACTGAGAGGCCGATAGAGGACAGTATATCTACCAAATGTAAGTTATATATTTATAACATGTTTTGTGAAATTGGGCAGCGATTCAATATTCCAATTCTAATCTAATAGTCATCGTACACAATACAAGCTCTTTAATTTTCATCTAAACTAAAAATTGTCAACGCGTTGATTTTTTTTTTAGTTACAATGTGTTTTTACAATGGTAACTCTTAAATTTAAAAAAAATGAGAAACGACGTGGTAAAGCCATTAAATAATAAATTATTCATCTAAAAACATTTTTACCTACATAATATATATTTTTAAAGTAACTTCAATCTATAACACCGAAACAAATCTTTGGTGAGGTAATTTTTGATACAAGCTCGTGTTATGAAAAAAATTATGAAGTGTGCATAATAAATAACGACATAAATTATAAACTCTCAAATTCACGAAATAATAATGACGGCGTGTCCAGCTTTAACTCTACGTTTTACACGAGTATTTCTTATAAGCATTTTTTTTTACTTTTTCTAAGTATTATTATCACATTTACGAGTATGTATATAATTACACCTATAATAGATCCATATAGTACGACACTTATGAGAAAAAGATTTTTTTTTCCTTTTTTGTCATTCTTTCTTCTCTTAATATAAAATTAACATTTTGTAAACGTTCATAAAACGATAGTAATTAATTTGGTAAAACTATTTTGCGAGAGTTGAATTATTAAGTACGCAACGCACATAACTTGTCTTTCCTTACAGGTAAAACCATTTAATATATGCACTTAAGTTGTAGGACTTAAAAAAATTAAGTTGCTAGTAAAAATCATTTTTTCTCTATTCCTAAATAGTTTTAAAATAGATTACTGGATCTTAATCCAATCTGATGCCCGAAAGAAATAATATTTTTATTCTAATAAAAAGTTTCTTCTTTCTTTAATATATAAAATCAAATTCAAAAAATGTTTAAGTTAACTGGATTTATCTTTAAGGCGACAATGTAGGTTTATGTAAATAGATAAGATAATGGCACAAAAGGAGGGTTGGATGGATTGTTAAATATTACATTATAGAATTAACAAGTACATATAGATAAACGCTTCTTTAAACCTCGTAGTATGATGCGTAGTTAAATGTGAATACAGATAAAATAATACCTCAGTAAAAGTAAACATTTGTCAAAATTTTACACATTTTACTATGTATTTGATGTGACATTGACTAATAGTCACATTTAACTATGTATTAAACAACGGGACCAGTCACTAGTCACCATAACAGTTGGCTTCGAAGCGCCGAATCCACTAAAATTTGTGACTTAGATTTTAAAGTACATATTTATAATATGGTTTCCCGGACTTGCTTTCAGTTCACTGTTTGACGAGTTGCAGCAATAAGCAAGCGAATATTCAACAAATTGTATTACAATACAATTTTACAATAAATTATGAAAGCATTGATTTTTAAATAAAACTATCGACTATAGCAAAATGTTATCAATTTATCAGAGAAATAAATTTTCAACTCTGGCAACCCATAGTAAGGAAGACATAATAGAGAAATTTTAAAAAAAACTGAAAAACGTTAAAGGATCTGTGTCAGGGTGTATGAGACTATGCAAATTCCTGAAACCCTACGCTGTTCAGAAAGAGATTGACAGAGCATTATTGGCAATCATCTCTGACCCGGTCTTGAAATTTGCCCTTCAATTTATATCACATATATCTTAATAAAAAGTTTCATATTATATAGTGGCTAGAAAATCCGAGTTATAGCATCCAACGAAAACCAAGTGATAATGTTATAACATTTGAATAGACAGTATTGCACTTGCTTCTGAAAAAAGCTTTTAAATTAATAACATATCGCACCTCCGGTGCGACACTGTCACTTATGCAAAAAAAACATTTTTTCAGGAGAAGCGTTGAAAACTTTAACATCCCAAAACATACAATATTTAAAGTTTTTTTTAATTTTTTTTAGATGAATAGCTAAGCTGTATAAGCTTTTCATCACGTAAAAATCTTTAAATATTGATTGTTTTGGGATGGTAAAGTTTAAACGCTCATCTTGAAAAAAAATTTCTTTTGCATAAGTGACAGTGTCGCACCGGAGGTGCGATATGTAGATACTATTTTTAAAAGATAAGTTACAAGATGTGAATATATATATATTTTATTGATCTATCCCAACATGATAGTTATTTTTTTTAGAAAATCCATAAGAGAGTATTAATCAATCTTTTCGTTGGACACAAGTGGAGCCACTACCCGGCATACGTGCTACAACTATCAGTCTCATTCTGAGCTTACACCTTAACGAATCTTTAAGATTACAATCACGATAAAATCTAGTCTATGTATTATAATATTATAGAAAACAAACACAAATAAATAACTTCTTTTCCACTCTAAACAAAAACGGTCCCGTTAGATGGAGGTGCATAGTTTGTGCAATGAAAAAGGTACTGAGTACGAATAATCACGTGATCAGCATCGATGAAGCCATAGCAAAAACACCTACATATAATGGGCGATAAATATCTAAGACTTAACAAACAATAAATAGATGAGAGTGAAGCTTTTTTTTACTTTTTCTTTAATAGGAACTGTGAGTTCGTAACTAAATTAATGACTTTTAAATTCGTATGCTGCGCCTGCGCATCAACTTTAAGCTTACTGACCTAGAACCTGAAGAGTTGCCACAACACTCGGGAAATAGAAAAATAATATTAAGGCCCAAATGCAGCAAATTTGCTAAATCTCGAATCTACTAAAACAAGCTTCAACCCATAGAATAATGTCAAAACGTCAATTTGACATGTATGTATGGGCTAAATGTAGTTCTAGTTAAATTGAGTTTTAGCAAAATTGCTGCAAGTGGACCTTACGGGATAAAGCGATTCAAATTTTGAGGCGGTTGTGAAGAAAGCTGAAAGCGCAACTATCCGCAAAGGGTTCGGTGACTTGCGCTTACTTCACAGCCGCCACTAAGTTCGTTTGGCACTCTTTGTTTGTGTGTTGCGCTAAACCTGAAAAAATATTATTTATGACATTATTGATTTGGAACACCAAGTACTCGAATGTTTTTTTTTTACATTCAATGTTTTCATTTAATTTGCGAACAGGACTTATATAAATTATGACTAAATGACCTAAAACATTTACAGCCGTTCTTTGAATCCTGTCATCATCAAGCATATTTCTTACAGCTCAGGGTATAAGTTAACGAGAAGAATTCGGCTAATAGATACAACAATATCACGAAAGCGCCATTTTTACTATCCAAACCCAAAAAAATCTAAAGTGAGTGGAGTGGCAACCCATTTCTTCGCTCAACTTAATTGGGCGAGTCATTGAAAGACGGCACAAGTGGGATAGGCTGCGCATTCTGCACAGTTACTTTTGGTGAGGCGACGATCTTCATCTTATCATTAGTCGGAGTTAAAGAAGGCAGTACGCCTAAATTGCTGAGATTATGTTTGGGTATAGTAAATGCGGGTAGTTGTTTAGCAGTGAGAGCGTCGTATATGCGCACTAGTTTGTTGTCCGCGTCTAAGGTCAACGGCCTCGCGGGCGCCGCTGTGACTACGAGAGGGGCTCGCGTAGCTATGTGATGTGTTAGCGAGTGAGTTTTAAGGCCTTGTGCCGTTTTGTAGCTTTTGCCGCATTGGCATTTGTATGCCTTTTTTACCCTGGAAGAAAAAGGTATAGATTAATAAATTATATATAATAAAAAAAAATGCGGGTGAAAGTTTTGTTCAACTGTCATTATAGGCTTTGTTGTTGTGGAGAAAAACTAGTGATGCAGCAAGGATATGGAAGAACCACCCACGTGGTATGTCATTGTGTATGTATGCATTAGATAGAAAGGCACAAGAAAATGTGCCCTTACTACATAATTATGTGGCTTGTAGTTGCCCCGACATAACTTAATCTAGGTCTGCCCCTCTAGCGTGAGCAGCGCCATATAATATATAGCTCGTTTTTATCACGCTCAATTATCAAATTACTATGAAGTTTGATAGTTAGGCGCGATTTAAAACGTAATATAATGTAAATTGTGGTGCTAATGCTTTGGGTACGTCAATAGTGAAAATTATAAAACAACGGGGTAACTAACTTAAATATTCACGGAAAGGAATTAATGATGGCTTTTCTGTCATTAGTCGGATTAACGACATGTATCACAACGTTACTGCAGCCAAAAGGCAGCATTACCTATGGTGCAAGGTGTATTTACAACAGCTAGCAGCTGTCTTAGCCCCTATCCACCATTCCATGGCTAGTAGAGGGCGCTAGAGTAATGAGGGTTTCTGAAATGTCGGGCGCCAGGTGGCAGCACTGAGACGAAAGGTCCACTCATCCGTCAAATCACGTATGTCGTCAGAGTCTACGGATCAATTTCAATGCTCGTTCGATAAATTCTCGCCAATTATTTTATACAAAAGACCTCATGTCACAGTGGCGCCAAATGGTGACGTAAATTCTTCTAAACACCGACATTATTGCGCAATGAATTCCTAAATACATACTCATATACTTATAATTTAATATTTTGGTCTGTAAAATACCTTCTAAATCAATGGATACAAATTCTAAGCCGTTATACAAATAAAGGAACTATTTAATTACTTTCATACAGGTACTACACAACCGAACACTCCAATTACTGTATTGATAATAATTACCTACTTAAAACTACATCCAGTACCTAAAAAAAATTAATTAACTAAATCAGACCATCTATATGCTTCCAATACGTATAAATTATATACAACTCATAGATAAATAGATACCCATTTTTTCCAGAAGTACTCCTGTGTGGTCAAACGTTTCTTAGGTCCCGGAATAAACTTTTTATTGTATTGTTCAGGGGTTGGCAATATTGGGTACCCTCTATTAAAACAAATTTAGTAATCAGTTATTATTATCTAAAATATTAAAAGTTATAATAATATTTTTAATAATAATATTAATATTTTTAGAAAAAACATATGAGAGATGACTTGCGAACCCATTATCTTACTTCTTGACATTAAAAATGAATTATTATTGTTGTTTTTCATAAGTATGTAAAACATAGTTTTTTTTATTTATAAGTAAATTGGCTTAGTAATGCGGCATCCACGAGAAATAAAAAACATAGGATTCAAATAAAAAAATAGACGTCAATAAGATATTGCAGGTAAGCACTCTAACTTGCTGACCAGGCCAAGCCAGTGCTGTATAGTGCGATTCAATCTTTATCGAGGCTGTGAAGTTAGCAATGTACACAACTACAGTGCGACCAAGATCTTGTGGCGAAATCTGAACTAAATTTAAGAAGGTATAATTTACCGTTTTATTTATAGGTTTCTCAGAGCGTGGAATGCAGCCTTGAAGTGACAGGTTGCTTTTTTGTGTGTTATTATGTTTACTTAGGTTAAAATTTTATTTGTTACTTCGTAGGTTTACCTTTTTATGATAAAGTAAAACATAGTTATTTTTAATAACATACAAAATTATAACATTTTGAAAATTATAATTCGATAGTAACTTATAGAGGAAGGTGTAAATGAGCATTTTATATTTCCTATTACTCTTTCATAATTATTATAAATAATGACATTCCCTTTAGTAAAGAGATTTTACATACTTAGTAATCCTCATTTCACCACTTGCACATCAGCAGCGCACTCCTATCAATGACATATAAGTGCAACAAGATCTTGGCCGCACTGTATGCGCAGATTTCAGTTCAATAAAAACCATAAACATAGAAAACTCGCATGTAACAACTTTCTAGAAAGAAGGAATGTCACCCTAGGAGTATTTTTCCCCCTTATGAAGGTAGAAACAAAAATGGACATGAAGAGAGATGAAGAGTACATTTTTTGAATTCCCATATTCGGTTCGTAAAAATTCCAGTAAGTATATAAATTCCGTGTGGTGTAGTTAATACCTTTATCGCTTCGTCTCACTCACTCTTATCTACAGTTAGACAAGGAACTCTCAGTACATTGTCTATACCTATGGTAAACCATGCTCGCATTCAACGAGTTTTCTGGAATGACGGGCACCAGGTGGCAGCACTGAGACGAAAGGTCTACCCATCCGTCCAATCCAAATCGCATAATGTCTTAAGTCTATGGATCAATTTAAATGCTCGTTCGATTAGTTCGCGCCAGAAACTTCATACACAAGACCTGCCGTCACAGCGACGCCAAATGGTGATGTAATTTTTTATAAACATTCTCATTTCATTTAGCGCGCTGCCTACTAGCTGAACTACAAGTTAGTTAAAGTGGCAGCAACAACAGTCGCCATTAAGTTTGAATTACAGTATACACATAAGCCCCCTTTTTAATAAACAAAGAATAAGCTTGGATTAGTTACCCCTTGTATTGTCTCTGTTCATTGAATGACAAATGACATTTGAGTGATATGAACAAAACAGGGCGTAACTAGTCTAAGCATATTCCTCGTATATTAATAAAGAGGAAAAAGTGCATATACACTTAACATCGAGGAGGTGGATTTAATTGGTCAAACATTCCATACTACGCAGGTAAGATTTTTAAGTTAATTTCATTTAAAATATATATTTAAAAATTTCTACTGTCTTAAATATTGCGGTTAATTATAATGGAGCTCGCTGGACAGATATTTACCTGTACTTTGTACTGACAGTCCGTTCTCACCAATGAGGAAGAAATGCAAAGCTCATTGCAGATGGCGCTTTGGCCGTTTGGCACATAACAAACAAGCAACCTTCAAAACTGCGTTCCACGCTCTGAAAAATCTACGCTCCGAGTGCAACGTTTTACCCTAATGACGTCGTTTCATTTGTTGTACCACACACAACGCTTTCGCACGTTTTTCCTTGTGACTTTAACAGATGTCTCGATTTGTTGTTATGGGCCATTTGACTTGTGTATACTCCACTAACTACACAGCCCCTAGAGGCATAGTTAGACAATCATACCTGACAATACATGTGAATAATAATTCAGATAAATTTTCCAATCACAGTCGACCACTTTCGAGTCCAGACGCGTTCGGACCGATTAGTCGGTCTGACAATATGACGGTTGGTGATTACCAACCATCATCATATCATTTAGGCCTGTGCCCCAGCAGTGGGGACATTAATAGGCTGATGATTATCATATCATTTACTTACATTATAAACTTGTATTCGCCAATCAAGGCGCAGTCCCTGTGCTTCGTCTTACCTCGGGCAGTTGCCAGTACTGAAAATATAATAGTCTAGGAGCTGTGTAGTCGGTGGTATAATAACTTGGCATCCTTCTCGTGTCCGTTCTTGGAGTGGTACTCGATGCCGTTGACATTGTTGTACCTCTTCTTGCAGCTGGGCATGGGGCATGCTAACGGCTTCCATCAAGAAGAGTGTTTATTCCATACGCAAGTAGGTATACTTACTTGCCATCCTTCTTGTGTCCGTTCTTGGAGTGGTACTTGATACCGTTGACGTTCTTGTACCGCTTCTTCCAAGACAAAGGACTTCTCTACTGGGAAATCCACGGACACTACTAGATGCCTGCAGCAATATCCGGGGACTGCTGAGCTTTCTGGAGGAGCTGGGATGGCAGGACTGATGCCATTCCTCACGCAAAAGAGGCACATGGTGTCGAGTTGCGGAAACAGCCCGCCGTAATACTTAGACAGCTTCTTGCAGCGAACGGTTTCATTAGACAAAACCTACATTGATATGTATAAATATTCACTTGCCATCCTTCTTGTGTCCGTTTTTGGAGTGGTACTTGATGCTGTTGACGTTCTTGAACCGCTTCTTGCAGTCGGGCATGGGGCATGCGAACGGCTTCCATCAAGAATAGTGTTTTTTCCACACGTAAGTAGGTAGGTAGTATGTTTAGTAGTAGGTAGATACTTACTTGCCATCCTTCTTGTGTCCGTTCTTAGAGTGGTATTTGATGCCGTTGACGTTCTTGTACCGCTTCTTGCAGCCGGGCACGGGGCACGCGAACGGCTTTTCTTGCGCCGCGGGGCCTAAGGCGCCCGTGGATGCGCTCGCGTTCATTCTACAGTACATTACGATACAATTTTACAACGGAAATGGCAAATTGTAGGCATTTTCAGAGATGTCATAAGGGTGGCAAACTAGCTTATGGCCCGGCTGGTCGAAAGCGGCCACCACAACCTATAGATGCTTGCGATACCAAAACTATTAATGGAGTTCTTGACTACGCAGATCTACTCATTCCCACTCGTCACCCCCAGCTTTGTCCTCTCCGGTGGCTAGTGGGATTTTTTCAAAAAAATATCCGCTGTGACCTCTTTCAAAGGAAGACCTCTGGCCGTTAATTTTTATACTGCTGGGCATTGAGAACATTAACGGTCTTTCTACAAAATAGTATGTGTGTGAACAAATATCTAACCTTTAAATGGTAATGAGGTAATAAATTTAAATTAAATTAAAATTTAATAAACACTTCAATCAATGGTATAACTGTCGCCATAATCGAAAATGTAATTAACCTACCTACATCTTTTTGTGTGAGTAGGTGCATTATGTATAGGTAGCGGCAAACTTCTTGAGGAAAACCACAGACAAAATAAATAAACTTGTGCAGTAGACGTTTTCGTTTGTAAAATGCGCACAGGGTTCCTTGTCTATAGTCGATATTCAAGAAGTTTGCCAGGGTGTATACAAAGATAAACTCAAGGTTTAAAGTAAGGAAAACATACTTGACACCATAACGCAGTATATACTCGGAGCTGTACTCCTCGACTGTAGTCCACGAGTCATTGCTGTCTTCAGATGGACTCATCATTTCATCCTCATCCATTTCGCTACCTGAAAAAATTAAATAATAATATAATAAAATGCTACCATACATACCATAGTTTTATGTAAAAAAGGTAGAAAAAAATCACTATTGGTCGCTTGATGGTAAAGTATACACCATAGCTTATTATACAGCTATTATACAGTAGAACCCGTTTAATACGATCACGCTTAATACGATTTCTCGCTTAATACGCCATTTTGCGTCAGTCCCTGCAACTTGAGACATGTTTTCATACATATCACAGATCTGTGTTCTGTGATATGTCATGAGTACAAAAACTAGGAAGGTTTTTTTTTGGTAATTTGTAGCACGTTGTTTTTGTTTTAATCGGTACATACTGCATTCTACTAAACTACCGAGATTTGGTATAGAGGAAGTTTGAGACACGGGAAAGGATATTTTACCCTCCCAAGGGGGACAAAGTACCGAACGAACTGCACTAGTTTTATATTATTTTATTTTAAATTAATTTGTTTCTTTTTCGATCCGTTCAGTTCGATAAATGGAAGGTCCAGTACCTGCAGATGTTTTCAATACAATACTAGCTTAATTTTTTCCCATTACTTTCTTATGTATGTCTTTAAAAATTTGCTACATTAATCCAATAAAAGCATGAACTATATTGTCAGCATGTTGTTACAATTTAAAATCTCCTGTTTATATTTCTGTCAAAACACCGGTTGTCCAGCCAGATAAAAAAGATGTAAAAAGGTTGATTTAATATAATACAGAAAAAGCACAGAGCAGAGCAGTTAAATTGGTAAACAAAAAGTCGCTCAATTAACGGTAAATAGGTACGATGATAAAATTAAAGTGACCGCATGTTTAAGCACTTAGAAGTAACCGCATGTTTAAGCTGCAAGTTACTTGTGTTAATTTGAATGATAATCTAATATATAAAATTTTCGTGTCAAGGTGTGCGTAATTGAACTACTCCGAAACGGCTCGACCGATTTTCTTGAAATTTATATGCAAATTCAGTAGGCCTGAGAATCGGACAACATCTATTTTTCATCGCTCTAAATGTTAAGCCACCCTTATATTTTCTTTTTTTTATTGGACAACATTTTTTGTTTTTATTTTTTTATGATACATCATACAAAAATACATACAACCCTAAATTTTCACCCTTCTACCACAAACCCCTATTTTTTGGCGGTACGAAGTTCGCTCGTATAGCTAGTTTATTTACAAAAAAGACCATTACCGAGTAACGACTAAAATAAGACATACTGTGTTTTGTGTTAGTTTTCAGTCCAGTACTAATCAGAAAGAACAAGGATTTGTTCCATAATAGGTCAAAAATTAATATATTTTGTATTCTTTTTAACGCTAAATGCGTAATATAAAAAAATAAATATACTAAAAAAACTGGCAATAAGTTACGCTTTGATTGAGGTATAACACATTATTACACTACGTTTTAATATGCTTAAGACAGGCCAAAACATATTTCTGCTCGTCCTGTAAAATTTTCCAAATGTGGCTTACTGTGTTTTGGTTTTGGGCAGCCGGACCGTCTGCGTGGTATAATTGGTTTCCCATACAAACTTTCATCCTACTTTTTACCCCCTTTAACGATTATTTCTGGAATAAAATCTATTCCAAGTCCTTTCTCGGTAGACAAACTACCAAATTTAATCTCAATCGGTTCAGCAGATTAATTGTGAAGAAGTAACGGTCAGACTTTCGAATTTAAATAATGAATATGGATTGATGATTAGGTACTAGAGGGTGTAATGTGTGTATACCCCGGCAAACTTCTTGAACTAAACCATAGATAATAGATCCGACGCAGTAGCAATTTTCTATACAACGTAGGTTTACTGCGCAAGTTTATTTGTCTGGGCCTAGGGTTAGGCTCAAGATATTTGACGGGATATACGCATTACACCTTCACTTAGTAAAAAAACTAAAACAATATGTACCGGTAGGAGTACTGCTTCGGATAGATGGCGTATTCGGCGCGGAAAGCAATCGGCGGCGGACATCCGGAACTGGTGGGAGATTGTGAATTTCCCGCTTTGAAGCCTCCGTGAAAAACCTCAGAACATAGCTCAGGGGTATGCAGGCAGGCTGTGACGCTTCTTTTTGTTCAACAACTGCTGGATCATAATCTAAAAATATGAAAATATTTAGTTTAATTATTCAATGTGCAAGATAAAGTACTGGTTACTTTACTGTTATTTTTTTTATGAATCAGATACTAATCTAATTTTAGCCCCACCAAAACAGAAATATTTATTTATTAAATAATAATATTTATTTAACCTTACAATCTGAGAACTGGGTTTTGTGACTATCCAAGTTTTCCCGCAAAGAATTCAAATGCACGAGAAAATGATATCAGTGCTGACAATATAACAACATTGATAAGGCGTATTTTATTGGTACATCCACGGGTTACTTACAAAGGTTACACTGGAAAATAATTGAATATTAATGCAAATTAATGATACTCACCGATATGGACATCTTCTATATGTTCTATTAAGTCCGCCAACCTCGGGAATGTAATGCCACAGCCATTGAATTTACAGATGTTTATCATGAAGACGGCCATGTCGTACAGGATAATTAGACAAGTCAACTGCAGAACTATACTAAACTGCTAATATTTTGTTATCTTATTTTTTTATGAAATTTCTATTCAATTACGGTATTGTTCACTTAGTATTATTTTAAAACATTTTTTTTGGTATGATCAGAATACTAAAAGCGATGTGCATAAATATTTTACATTTAATAAGTAATGAATTACTTACATCATTCGCGCAGGTTGATCGATAGTTGGCTGCGCCGATCGGAATTTCGTGCGATTCCAACCAATAGCGAAGCAGAGTTTCGGTCCCGTTTCACTTCACTACTGTCATGTCAAATCAACATTCCGAGTTTCCGATATTCCAAAGGCCGGTCTCCTCCCTTTCGGTGTACTTTGGTAAGTGCGGTAGAAATTTGTGAATAAAACAAATCGTGAAAAAGTGTTCAAATTAGGAGCCATCACAGAATATAAAGTGTCATTATAAATCCTCCTAGGTATATAGTGTGTGGTAGTGACATTATTTATTGGTGAAACTGTAAGTTGTCATAGAAATATGAAACTGGAGTAATAGTCGGCTCATCTAATCGGCCATCTTCTGACTTATTATTGTCTAATATTAGTCGGTAACGATTCTCAGACAATATACATAAAGTATCTAAGATCCCTGCTACAACCTGCAATTAAACTTTACGAAATAAGTCACTTTAGGTTGCTGTTACGTAGTCGGTAAATTACGTAACGCTTTGCAGTTCGGTCGAACTGACAGACTAGACTTCAGTCTGCAGTGCCATTTGGACAAGGTTTCAGTATCTCATCATAGTTGCGGTTTCTTTCAGTTGTCGCTCGCCGCACCTAAATTAAACAAAATGCTGTTTGCCGCCAGACTGATCGCCCCTGCAGCCAGGTCTGCCGTAAGTATAATTTAATTTCTATTTACAAAAATTAAAGGCTCCGCAGAAAAGTACTTCGAAATACAATATACCATATTATTATGGTATTATGGGTATTATGAGCACATAAGTATCCAAAACCCTCTACAAACATATCATTCCCTACATAATAACCTTGAAGTCTTAATGTTTTATTCAATCAATGTAAGAGGGTGATCTGTTATCTTTGATTTTTAGTATTACATAACCTGAACATTTTGTTCATTGAGTTTATCATGGTTTTAAGCTAATATAAGTGGTATCTGACCCCATATCTTATCCTTAAATCAAAGTTGGAACCTATTATGTATATTTTTTTAAATGATGTGACTTATTAAGTCCAATTTTTAGTAGTAGTAGTTCAATTTTATGTTGAACATACACCATACACTCTAAGGCATTTCTTACAGACCAGTTCACAAGGGATAATTAGAGATAAGAAGATTATTAAATTCTCCCAAAGTTGCTAACCTTTTACTCTTTACAGATTTTCAGCAACACAGCTCTTGTCAGGCCACTGGCAGCAGTCCCCTCACAGACACAGATTGTGGCTGCTTCTCCCTCCCAGCAGCTGTCAGCAGTGCGTTCCTTCCAGACCACATCCGTTACCAAGGACATTGACTCTGCTGCCAAATTCATTGGTGCTGGTGCAGCGACAGTTGGAGTAGCTGGTTCCGGTTTGTATTCAGTTATTATATAATAGCACACTATACTGCTTGTCTTGGGATAGGTTTCATCACTCGCATAACCTTTTTTCTGTTAACTTGTTTGTCATAAATGCATTTCAGGGTAGATTTTCCAATACTAAGATAAAACTTGCTGAATAAACTGTTACCTAATCAAGAACTTTTAATATGGGGGATATTGGCAAACATACATATTTACTAAAAATCCTATATCTATAAAATTATCCAGTTTTTTTTAATTCTAACATGTCTCAAAATTATATCCAGGTATTGAAAAATATGCCCACAATCTAAATATAATAAAATATCACTCCACAGTTTTCTTCATGAGAACATTTCTTGAAATCATACTTTTGTGAAACATTACAAAATCTTTTATTACAAAATTGAAAATAATCTGTTATTGCAAAGAATTTAAGTCAGCTTTGTATAAAAAAGTTAAAACAAATTCTGGGTCACTCCCTATATTGCATAATCTGTTGCAGATGTATTGATTTTAGGGGATGCACTGATATTTAAAGTTCAAAGTGGCATGGAGTGGCATTTTGATATACTTACTGAGGAATAGTTCTTGACAAGTTATGACTTAGCAGCTACTGTATTATGTTTATTTGGTGAATTAATTTAACCCAATTTAAATTCTTAATTGTTAATTACTAGAAAACCATCTGACATTAAATGTTTTTGTGGCTGCTGGGAATGGCAAAATCTGTTTCTCTTATTCCTTTGCTTGTTACTAATACTGTGTGAACTAACATTTCAATATCATCTGCAGGAATTGGTATTGGTGTGGTGTTTGGTTGCTTGATCATTGGCTATGCACGCAATCCTTCATTGAAACAGCAAATATTTTCATATGCCATTTTGGGTTTTGCACTGTCTGAAGCTATGGGCCTGTTCTGTCTGATGATTGCATTCTTAATGTTATTCGCTTTTTAGAGTTTTCTTTAATGAAGATTTGTACAGTGTATATTCGCTATTGTGGACATTTAACTTTTTTTTATTGGCATGATTTTGTATCCATTTTATTGATTTTCTTATAATTTTGACACGAAGACACCCAATTGGGTAAGTTCTATTTGCTTCTTTGTTAATTAGATTTATTATATTTAGATTTATAACCACATGGCATTTATTTTGTTTTATGTTGTGTAAGAAGTTGAACAAGCATATTGGTCACCCTATATTAAGTAACCACCATATCCTTAGACGCTTGCAATATTAGAGTATCACTTACAATTAACTTGACTCTACTCTACCCCAGGGTCATAGAAATCTTATCTTTCCTACAGATACAACAGCAACAAAATATAAGTTACTGTTGCCTTCTGTAAGGTAAAGGAGTTCCCATATAAGTGCACCAATTCCAACCTCTAAATTTTCTCTATTGTTTACTGATTTTTTTTTAAATTGCATTTTAAAAGTTTAAGCAAACCCCAATTAAGTCACATGCATTCCGTAAATTTGAAAAAATGTCTTATTTCCTGTTCTCAAAATAAATAACTGAACTTTAACAACTGTCTCATCTTGAACCGCATTAAGCATAGACATAGCTAGACATTACATAGCATTTAGTGCATCAAAAAATGTCTTCACAGTCTATTAATTTCAGCATAATTGTTAGTTCCAACTTGATGGCTGCCTCCTGTCCTGAGGAATAATCCCTTGCTATGCCAATGGCAGCGAGAATAAATAATGCCACAATCTATGTTCCTTATGTTATGAAGTAGCCATTACCCATTTGATACCCTTTTATAAGATGACCAATGATATAACCTATTATTCTACAAAACTTACTTATTTGTAATACTAATGATATTTTTCGATATTCCAGGAGCGGGTATCGGAACAGTGTTCGGTTCCTTGATTATCGGCTACGCCAGGAACCCCTCCCTGAAACAACAGCTGTTCTCATATGCCATCTTGGGCTTCGCCCTGTCTGAGGCCATGGGTCTCTTCTGTCTTATGATGGCCTTCCTGCTGCTGTTCGCCTTCTAAGCATCCTACTTTTAAGAACACTACTGCCATCCATCATAATGAGGTTTCAGTGATATATATCTGGAGTGGACGGCCATGGAATCGAATGTGTGGAAACCTCCCCTCATAGTGATGCAATGACTGATGTGTACAGTGTACACTACCCAGTGCGTCATCTTGATTGCAATTTATTTAATTATGTAGTATAAAGGAAATCTGCAAATAAAATGTTGTACGTAAAACATTATCTGGAGCTACAATTATTTCAACTCCTGTATGTTAGACTGTTATTTAAATCATGTTACAGTACATTTGAAAGAAAAAAAAGTTGATAAGCCGGTGACGATACGATAAAGCCAGTGAATGCATGATTTTTGCGTGTGTATCGTCATCGACTGGTTAAAACTTTGTGAAGAATGTCGGTCGTCATCTGTAATGTACATTTTTAGGGCGAATAAATGATACAAATCAAACACTAATCAGCGTTTATTCTTACTAGCCCTTTATTCGTTTCTTGCTGTTTAGAACATAACAAAACCTTGCCTGCCCTAAATATTATACGAAGTTTAACAGGAATAACGCACACTCTCATAGAAGTTGGATGGAATAGGATTCTGAATCTATTTAAATTAAAAAAATAATAATGATAATGTCTTTTTACAATACACTTGAGTTGTTGTTACTTTAATTTAGCTTTTAGAAAAAAGCCCTTCCGCGACCGGAAATCGAACTCTGGCCTCCCGCGTGGCCGGCGAATTTTCTACCACTAACCCTTTTTTCGCACTTGGTCGGATCCTCATTTCGTCCGAATACAGTTAACTAAAAAAATACTTCGAGAAAACCCCCAAGCTTTTTTTTTAATGACAAAAGACTACCCCACTTGATAAGTGACGATGAAGTCCAGTCGCGAAGATAGCTGATACAGCCGTTCTACCTGCCACACCAGCCATCCTCAACCTACCGGTCTGCATGGTGCTTCTTCACGCCTCTAAGGATCCCAAGTTGTAAGAGGAAAGGAACACGTGAGCGGGCAGAGCATTCCATTTACAAAAAGGTTGAAGTCGACAACGACTTGCTGAATGTGAGCTCTCGTGGTAATATAAAGAAGTGTTAAGAAGGTAATTTGTAGGAATACGTATAAACATTTGAGCTCTGTTGGCCTAAAGACCAATAATCATAAAAAATTGTTTCCTAGATTCGAAATTATTGACGGACACACTGAACGATTTTGAAGTTATGTTTCCAAATAGGTATTAAAATAATAAAAAATAAGTTATATATACATTTCCGGTTATAAGTTTCTGTGGCTTCTACCACCCCTTAAAGCTAGTTTTTGTAGACAAAACATTTATTTTAAAATTAATAACTTTACCTACATTATTAATAGCCGAAAATGCAATTTAACAAAAGAAAATCGTATTCTAAGAAAAACAGGAGATTCATGTAGAAAAACAGTAGAACAGGAAAAAAGAAATACAGGAGATCTCCTGTAAAATCTGGAGACCTGGCAACACTGGATGATTGTGAATGAGTCACAGATTAGAGAGAATTTTTAAGCTCTCGTTAACCAAAGAAAGCTAAGAGATTTAGGTTAACAGCCATATCTTCAGTAGCTTCATTATTTTTGGTTGCTTTCCCATTACAGCATTATGCGGCATAATGCTCCAACTACAGCAAGGCTTCGCACAATTGAGCACTCTCAAAAGTGATGTTTGCAATCGTACCAACTTAGAGACAGAAAATTAACAAGTGTTTTTTCTTTAAGTTGGCATTGATCGAAATGTTATATTTATATGTTATCGTTAGTAATATTATTTATTGTTGAAAAATTATTAAAGCTTTCGTTTCATTAAATAGTTCTTTTTAAATAATCAAAGTTCATTCAAACTGTTAAAAAATAAATATAAGTATGGATGAAGGTACAAACATTGACTTTTTTTTTCAACACTGAACTTAGCGCACTCTGCTGGTGCATTTGAAAACTAATTCACGTTCCAATTAAGCATCAGCATAATTGGGCATTGTGCGGGACTGAGTCGCATTATGCTCTGTAATTGGAAAGCATACTTTGTTATGTTTATATTATAACCATATTTTAGATTTTTATTGTATCACACTTTCAATGTGAGGAGGTGTTTCGCGAAAAATGTATGGCAATAGACTTTATGATTACGCCTACCATCTATAATAATTGTCTTAGCACATTTGTATTTAGTGAAAATGATTTAAAGTCCTTTTTAAAATGAATATATTATACAAAGGTGTCCGTTAAAATCTAATGACTGTAAAATGAAGTATAAATTATGCCAAGAATTACCGTATATGTCAATATTTTTTGTGCATTTGGGCCATTTTGAGCAATCTCCTTTTATTTTTTCTTTCTAATAATGTATGTATCTTTTTTATAATGACAATGATGATATACCTAAGAGTTTTAAGACATAGATATACTTAATACTGTCTCGAGATCTAGCTACTGACCTGTAGTTTTTAAAATATTTGGTTACGCATTGCCTATTACTAAATCATTATTCCCATTTCGCTGTACATTGTTTTTTCCATCGTAGAAAAGGATGAGGCGAGGCAAATCTGTTTGATGCATAGTTAAATGTGACCTATTTTATTTTGCGAAATTGCTTGTGGTCCCTCGGTCCACACCAATATAAAAAAATTAAGGTCAGGTAACTAAAATTTGTTGTTTCTTGAGCAGTTTAGCAAATAATGACATGATATTATGTACTGCGCAAGAAGACATAATTTAGAGACTTATTAAACTGAAGAAAAAAACTAGGTACCGATAACATGTACTGTACCGCCACTTACTTACTCAGTGGCCATCATAGCCGGTAGCCGGACTAAACTCCTGTGCCATGGATGTGGTCCAGTCCTGCCTACTGCGGCACAATCTACGCTCCGATTATAGTTGTGAATCTTAGCCATCCAGTGACCAATTCGAATAGATCGGTCCCAGGCGTTTTGGTTAATTATATATAATTACATACTTACAAAACGGACAGTACTTTCGATTGGTGTGAAATTTAAAAAGATTGACAAAACTTGGTGTAATTATTGAGACACAGCTATGGCGTGGCTAGTCTAGTTAGCAAGTCTCAGTCACGGCACATAAACCCCGATAAATTTTTCGGTGCTTGAGAATTGATACAAAATTACGCACATGTAAACTTAGGCTCAACAAACACTGGCGCAGGAGAAGTGTGGCGTCATGTCATGATTTTCGCCTTGGGAATACCTCAACAGTGGGAAACTAGATATGAATTTGCTACAGATGAAAAAGGTGAAACTTACAATTAGAAGTCGTGTGAGTGGGAATACTCGGAAAAGAGAGACGAATCTGCTACAGGCGTAACGATCGAGTCTGAATTGAGCCTTATTTTCATAATAAATGATGGATTTATCGCTTGTTTGTAAACCAGTTCCCCTAGCATGGGAACCGAAATATGTAAATAACGAGTTTTTATCACGCTCAATTGTCAAATTACTATGGAGTTGGACAGTTAGACGTGATATAATGTAAATTGTGGTGCTCATGCAACTTGGGTAGGAGCACGAAAGTGGACACTAAGGCGTTGAGCAGACGACGGGGCGGGGCGGGCATTTTGTCCGCGAAGCAATAAAGACCGCGTCTGCCCGTCGATGTCTGCGGCTGCCCGCGCCGCGTACACAAAGCACACGACGGGCAGAGGTCAGTTCCGGACGTTCGTTCTAGTGAATAGTCCATCACTAATAAGCGCGTGGCGCGGACTGAGCTGACCGCCCCGCGCCGCCGTCTGCGTTACTGCATATAAACTGGTTTGTATGATCCACGGCGGGAAGCCGCGGACATGCCGCGCCGTCACTGCCCGCCGGGCACTTGCGGCGCGGTCTTTACTAGTCATAGTCATAGTCATAATATTTATTGCTTCATGTTGGTTACATTTCGTTCTTAAATTTAATAACAGCTCGCAAACATGAGCCCTGCAAGGGCATTGCAAATTATAATAAATGTGTACAAATATTAATTTAAAATTTGATAAAATTACAATAGGATAACAATTCAAGATAGATAGAAAATTTAAATAAGTTAATAAAAAGAATATAATTTTAAAATCAATTCATATTATACTTAAAGCAATTATAAAATACATTTAGGGTTAGGTCAAGAGATGTATGTCAATCAAATCAAAAAATAAATAAACAAGTAACAATAACATTCAAAGTAATAATCCATTCAAAATTCATTCACATAATATTCATTATAATTTAGTTTAATAATTTCGGTTTAGGTCAACAAATTTACGTCATAAAAAAATCAAATCAATTAGTCAAACATCATTAATTATAACGTCATATACAAAATTTATCATTTAAGAACTCCTTCAAATCATAATAACACTTATCTATAAGAAATTGTTTTAAATTATTATTAAATGTACAATCTTTTTCAATGTTTTTTATATGATTCGGTATTTTATTATATATTTTAACAGACATATGGTATGTTCCTGAGCTTACCAGATGTAATTTAGTAAACGGTATTGCCAATTTATTTCTATTTCTTAAATTACGTGTTTGAAAATATGTATCACTAATATGTTTATATAAATGTCTATTTTTGCGCACCATTTTACTTATTTGAAATATATATATACATGGAAGAGTAAGTATCTTTAGTTTTATGAAATGTGATCTACAGCTTTCCATGTCTGTAATATTCACCAATATACGTATACATCGCTTTTGTAATACAAATAGTTTATTTATGTCGGTACTATTACCCCATAAGATAATTCCGTAACTTAGCCATGAGTTTGCGTAAGCATAATAAGCGCTTTTTGCTGATATTAAATCTGTACTTTTCTTTAACTCGTAGAGGGCATAAGTGAATCTAGATAACTTGGATACTACTCTATCAATATGTGGCTTCCAATTTATATTACAATCTATTTCTATTCCTAGTAATGTGCAAGAGGTAACAAAATCTAATTTACTGTTTTGGACGATAGGTTTAGTTTCAATAGGTTTTTTCTGTCTAGGTTTAAATTGTATCAATTTAGTTTTTTTAAAGTTAATTTCCAAATTATGCTCGTTCAACCATTTAATTATCTCGCCCATATTGTATTCTAGCTTTTCTTGCAGTTCGTTGCTAGATTTGCAGGGCATTACAACAGAGATATCATCCGCATAAATGACAGTTTTATCCTTTATACAGAATGATATATCATTAATATAAATTAGAAATAAAATGCATCCAAGAATGCTACCTTGCGGAATTGATCTCTCTATCCTATCTTTTTCTGATATAATTTTACTTAATATGTTATTTTTAGAATTATAATAGTCGACTTGTACAAATTGTTCCCTATCTTCCAAGTATGATGCTAACCACTGGTGTGCTATCCCCCTTACCCCTATAGAGTGAAGTTTCTTTAAAAGTATTTTATGAGAAACTCGATCATACGCTTTGCTCATGTCAAGCAATACTCCTACAGCATATTTCTGTTCGTTAATTATTGAAAATATTTCATTAAAATACTCATAAAGGGCAGTAATAGTAGATCTACGCTTCCTAAAACCATGTTGACAGTTATTAAAAATTTCAAATTTTTCACAAAATGATGTTAGACGCATCGCCATAGCGGACTCAAACACTTTGGAAAAGGTAGATAGTAGTGCAATAGGTCGAAAATGTTGCGGTTCATTTGCGTTACGTTGTTTAGGTACAGGTTTGATAACTGTAGTTTTTAATAATTTTGGAAACGCTGCTTCTCTAAAAGATTGGTTAATTAGATAAGTTAAGGGTTCAACGAGCTCCTCTTTACATTGTTTTATTAATGACGGCGGAAATTCGTCTATTCCAAAACTAGTTTTATTTTTCAATGACTTTAAGATAGAAAGAACTTCAACTTCCGTAACTGGGTTTAGGAACATACTTTTTTCAGTATAACTTAGAGAAGGGCGCCCTTCAGGATCTGGTTTGTTATTATTGTTACCCACTGAAACAAAATATTTATTTAGCATGTTTGAAATTATGTAAGGATCAGTTGTATTGCTTGTTTCCGTTTTTAAACCTATATTCTTGTGGCATTGCTTGTTTATTTTATTTGTACGTTGTTTAATTATTTGCCACATAGATTTCGTTACGTTTTTTGAATATTTAATTTTTTTAATATATAAGTTCTTTTTTGATGTTATTACTATATTCTTTAATAGTTTTACATATTTATTGTAATAATCATTAAGTAATGGATTATTTGTCTGAGATTTTAATATATGTAGTAATCGTTTATGTTTACAAGATGTTTTAATACCTTTAGTTAGCCACAGTTTTTTATTAATATTATTTATTTTTACTAGTTTTTTTGGAATGCACTTGTTTAATAAACATGTTAATAAGTCGTGAAAAGAACTGTAATTTTGATTGATACTTTTTTTATGTGATAATATTTGATCCCAATTTATAGCCTGCAATTGTTTTTTAAACAATGCAGTGTTATGCAGGTTAAAAATTCGCAGTTGAATTTTGTTTTATTTGGGGTTTTTGAAAGTCAATTATTGTACCTTTGTGGTCAGAGATTCCGTATTCTTTTACTTCCACAGTTGTGTTTGTCATATCAAAGTTGGTAAATATTGGATCCAAACAGGTAGAGCTAGTAGGAGTTACTCTCGTATGCTCTTTAACATATTGATCAAAGTTATAACTTTTAAATAAATTGATGTACATTTTACTTTGACTGGAATTACTTAAGAAGTTTATGTTTAAATCTCCTCCTATTATTATATGTTTTTTATTGTATTTAGTCGTTAATAATTTAAGTACTTTTCCTATTTGTTCATTTACTATAATTGTTTCTCTTTTACTCTCTGGCCAGTACATAACAACAAGTATTAAATTTAAATGTGGTATTTGAACAGCACATATTTCAATTATATATTCCAATGAAAAACTATTTATATCCTCGCATTCATAATATTCAATATGGTCTTTTATAAATATACATACGCCGCCCCCTTCTCGGTGTTCTCTAGAGAATCTACTCGCTAGATTATATCCTTCTACAACCAGCAAGTCAGTTTTACATGGCGAGATCCAGGTTTCCGTAAAGCATAAAGCAGCAAAACTTTTTGCCCTCTGTGTGCGTTTGAAGTATAGGATTCACTTTGTGCTATTATTCGCGGCGAAATTGACCGGCCCGTCGGCTGCAAAGTGCCTAATAAGTACATAGAAAAATAAGATTGCTTATGGATTTCGAGATACAGAGGTTGCTCTGATGGGTCGTCAACCGAACAGGTTCTGGCCGGGAAAATGAACAGCCATACTACTGACGGCATAACTAATATCTTAAAAATGTAGGTATGTATATGCCGTGTGTATAACGAAAGTAACGCTTGGCAACAATTTCAACGACGTTGCCACTCCAAACGTAACTCTTGACTGCTACTCTTTCACGTCCAAATAGCTGAACTAACTTCGATGAATTAGGACATTGCCGGATTTAGAGGTGTGGAGGCCCCTAACAGGGGCGGATTTTAAATGCTGGTATCCAGGTCCACTAGAGGACATTATGGACAAATCTAGTTGGGGGCTAAAATAGAGGATGAATGATTGTACTTGATAGCATTTTTTCTACGCAAGTGAAGTAACGAGTTCCCACTGCTGTTACATGATTCAAACTTACAAAAACAGTTGGGTACAAAAAGGAATAAAAGATGGAATATTTTCAACAAATTTTATTGCAAATATGTTTTAATGAAAAGCATTTAAATGGCTACCTCCGCCACCACAATTGATTGAATGGGAGGTAAACATTTAAATTTTGATTTACAAAATGTTATGTTACTCGTAATATAATTTATTCATGTCCAGGCATTCTTAATGCTCTATTTTAGAATTCCGCATATTGACTTTGTATGTAAGCAAAATGAATACAATCTAATGTTATATATAGTTTGCATTCAATTTGCAAATAAAATAGCACACCATAATAGAAACGAGTTCTCAAAGAAATGTAAAAACTAAATTCATTCACTCACTACACCACATTACCACGCTTGTATAAAACAGTAAATATATCTACTTCAACCATAGGTTAGGAAAGGTTTCACAATATTTGGTGTTAGTAGATATCACTTACTTCGAACAACTTTTACATAATTTCACTCAATATATCCTAGTCTAACTAAAATTTTATTATTGGTAGTCAGGCACTATCAAACTTTAAGATGCAGGTACTGACCCGATTTTTCAGATAGAAATAAATTATCTTAGATAATTTACAATGTAATGCTGCAAAGGTAAAACATATTCAACAAGGCACAACAAAATAAGATTCAATGTCTACACTTCCTTGAGAAGAATACAACTCTATAAATAATGTTTAATAAATCATAACATAATATTTTTCTTTCTTTCTATAGACACGTCAGCGGCGTACCAAAAATACATAATTTCGGGTTTCATGAGGAAGGTTAACAATTAACACTATTTCTTCTATTGGAAACTTTAAACAATGTAAGCCTGTCAACAACAACAAATTTACATATGTATCAAATTATTGACAACTTGCGAAGTCTCCTCCGATACAAACATCGCTGATTGATATGCAACATGCAAGGTTGTGTGTAAATATTTATAATCTATCATGATTTTAGCCTACCGCAAAACAAAAATAAGGCATTTTCTACAAGTCACGTTTATTGAACATAATTTTCCAAGTCAAGGCTGTACGCACACTCGCTTATGATTCGAATACAAAGAAACTCAGCTTTGATACATACACAATCTGTTTTTTTATATATGAGATCAACACTCGTAATATTATTTGGTCCAAATTTAAAAAGTAAACATTTCTGTGCACTCGAGTCATAAGGCCAACTTACACAATTTATTTTTGGCTCAACCTAGGTCCGTAGAATCTACAATTACAGCTAAACCTCACCAAACAACCATATAGCTCATCTTTTAAGGAGTATACCTATTATTCTGATATTCTCTTTGTAGGCGTGTTCCATGAGTGTAGTAAGCTTTGTGTTGCTAAACCCATGGAACGTTAAGTATTTTACAGTATAAATAGTAATTATATAACGTATGTTATTTATATAGCTTCAGTTTCAAACTGGTTGCCCTTACTAATGGTAATAGGTCCATAAGTTTCATGTTGCTCTAATTTCAACACTTGATGCTTCTTGAGGACAAGTAAACTGTAGAACTTCTGCGCCACCTGTAAAAGAGAGATAATTATAGGTAATCTGTATTCTCCACACAGAATCAAAAACGCAAAAATTGCTTTGTTGCAAAGTAGGAGTATCTACCATTTTTTTATTGATTTTGATTTCAAGTGTAAGGTCAGTGATCTTGAAATAATCAATCAACAGTGGTAAAAAAACGTCTCGTTAGCAACTGCCCTGAATTCGGCCCTGCTGGTCAACGATATTAAATACGCTCGATACACCACGTGCGCACAAAATGTGTCCCAATCAAGAAGTGCTTGAACACCACTCAAGCACTTCTTGGTGCACAGTCACGCGCGGACCGTTGAAAAGTCAAGTTGCCGCAGAGCTCCGTGAAAAAAATACTCATAGAATGTAAAGAGTCGTTCTTTAGTCAGGTATCTAATCAATGTTAGTTAATTAAACGCAATTAAAGCAAATTTTGTTATAATACTTACTATAAACTGATTGAATAGAAAATATTTGTGATATTCAAATACATGGTCGGTTATACAGCCATCTCTTTTCCTCGCGGTCCGTACCTGCTATATTGCTAACAGCGCTTTCAGAATTGCGCGTAGAATCAAAGAAATAAGGTCTATATTCTTTCGTATATAGCAACAAATTGTAAAATTTTACGAGTTTGCATTTCGAACCGTCATAGCTCTTTGACGCATGCGTTTTAATTAAGACCATTATGTAGGCATTAAAGGTGACTTTCAATAAATAATGCTTTATATGGTATTTGACTATGCGATCATCTTACGGAGCTCCGTGCATCGTCCAATGTACTTTTTGGATAGGTTTTGTTCGTGTTCGTGTATCTAGAATACTTAATATCGTTGCTGCCGGTGGCCAGTTTGGGCCTTATGGCGCGGGCTGTCAATATGGGGCAGTACGCTACGCTTCCTGTTGTTGTGACGAGGCGCGAGGTCGTTGAACCCTAGCTACAGCCCGGCGGCCAGTTTGGGCCTCATGGTGGCTCCCAGTACCGCGAGTCTGTCAATATGGGGCAGTACGCACCTGCTTCCTGTTGTTGTGACGGGGCGCGAGGTCGTTGAACCCTAGCTGCAGCCCGGCGGCCAGTTTGGGCCTCATGGTGGCTCCCAGTACCGCGAGTCTGTCAATATGGGGCAGTACGCACCTGCTTCCTGTTGTTGTGACGAGGCGCGAGGTCGTTGAACCCTAGCTGCAGCCCGGCGGCCAGTTTGGGCCTCATGGCGGCGAACAGTTGAGCCGCGCGTCTGTTCAGGACGCGCTCTTCAAACTGCTCGTCGGTTTCGCCCGCTTCGCGCTCGCCTTCCTCCGCCTAACACGAGTATTAGTCAGTTAAAGCATACACATGGATAATTTATTAGGTACGCAGTACAACCAATACCTCCTGTTTATAATAATTTTTTTTATGCGTAATAGGCAATGCGTTTCACCACAATCTCGCCTGATGAAAAGATTATGTTGGTCCGGGAAAACAGACCTCGGCAAGGAGTTCCACTCCGTAGCGGCTTGCATAATGAAAGCGGAAGCAAATCTCTCTACATTTAAACATCTAGCAGTTAAGAACCACTTGTAACGATTTAGCTATAACTCAATTTAACTAAAACTAGATTTAGCCGATACATCAATGTACTGTAAAAAATTCAAAACGTCAATGTTAATTTGACATTATTGTATGGGCTAAATCTAAAAACTGCTGCAGGTGTACCTAATTGACATTTGACGTTTTGCAATTTTAAAGATAATTTTAATTGAATTGAGATTTGGCAAATTTGCTACAAGTGGGCCTTAATCCTTAAAATATCAATATAATAAGCAATGTCTCCTGTATTATTTTTCAGATGTTTGTGTTAAGAATACGAGCATTTGTACTCCAGTCATAGATGTTTAATATGTATTTCTAACTAAATATACTTATATATATATATATATATGTACTGTATCTGTATTCTATCCGTTACCCTAGTATCCCATAACACAAGCCTTAGAGTGCTTACTTTGGGGCTAGGCTAATTGTTGTGAATGTTGAGAATATTTATTTATCATTATTTATTTTATTTATTAAACTTACATTTTCCGGCGTCGGTGGTAGATCATAGTCATGTTGTGGACTATGATGCTGCTCGTGTAGATGTTGATCGTCGTACCCTAAGTTTGTCATCCCCATTCCGCTCTACAAAAATAAATAAATGGATTTAGTATTTTACAAAGATAAAATATAAAGGAGCATGCCATGCGATGAGTCACCATAGTGGTATTTTACAGGCAAATTTACTAACTTCCCGAGATTATATCTATTTTTTTTTTCAAGTATATAGTTATTTACTACTAGTTCTTAGATGACAAGGCAGCGCAACTCCTACAATAGGGATGACTAATTTTTCTCTACGTCCATCAGTAAGATGATGATTATTATTATTATTCTCTTTATTCATTGTATACCATATTAATTACATTTTTAAATACAAAAATAAAAACATATAAAATATAAAAAATAGAAGCCAACCGGCATCGGGAACAGGGTCCTAGCTACCGGTGGTTAGGTTCCAGATAAAGGAACCTCCTCACTATGCGAGCCGTGTCAAGAAGTACTGCCTTTTCTATCAGGCCCTTGACCCAGTCACTCAACTAGAGCCTCCGCAGATGACAGTTGAGGCTCTTGGCTATCAGGCCATTGACCGTCCTAACTATTATTATTATTAGATGATCAAAAATAATTGGACACGTATTTTTTCTTTATTCAGACAATAAAAACATTACAAAGATATATTGATTTGAAATGTCCTGATGTCACGACTTACAAATGATGTTATGAGCAAACTTTGACGCGCTTTATCTTTGGCATTTTTCTGTTAATTGGCAATAAAATTCGGATAATTTAACTGACAGACTAAATAGAGTTTCGCTTTAATAATCCCATCATCATCCCTATTTATAGGTAATAAACTACATACAATGTTAAGTGAGATGCATTTAAGAGTACCAAACATTCGAAAGCAGTAATGGCAATGTAATTCCGTGATCAAGCACTTGCAACAGTACCAAAATATCAGAAACTCACAAAAACAAGGTAGCAATCATGCTTATTACTAAAATGTTAAAGACCGTAAGGACTGCAAATTTAAAACATAAAAGCATTGTAGTTTTCGTTTCACTTGTTTAGATGTAATATTATAATAAAATGACGAGGAGCCTCGATAGCGAAAGTGGTAAGTACGTTCGGCTGCGTTCGTTGAAATTAAGCAACTTTCGTAGTGGTCGGCAATTGGATGGGTGACCAAAACTTGAATATCTCAAACTCCTCCGTGCTTTAAAAAGCACGTTAAGCCGTTGGACCCAGCTGCATCTGCAGTCGTTAGCAGCTACTAATCCGCACTGGGTCCGCATGGTGGGTCACGGCCCAGTGTGCCTGTTCCATCCATAGGGAAAGCCTGTGCCCCAGCATTGAGGAAATTAATAGGCTGATGATGATGGAAATGAAATTAAAGTTAACTTTTCTAGTACCCACCTGGTAATCTGACATTTCCCGTGGCATCATTGGCTCTGGTAGATGCTGCAGTAGCGCGGGTTCGGTGCCCAATTGAGGCAACATCGGCAACTGCTCCATACTATGTTGCAACATGCCGCCGTGCTGTAATCCTGTGGAAGTGAAAGGCCAATATTTATTTTGTGACAGGTCATAGGATATCATCTAAAAAATCAATGTTAACTTGCATTTAATCAGTGCCTTTTTGAAGTAATTTATTAACCTATCAAGATATTTTTTTTAAAATTTCCGTCTAAAATGTAATGGAAAAATTCTTGAAATCAAGTAAATAGCTTACCGTTAAAGCGGTTTCATAGACATATATATTTATTTTTAATGAAATTCCGAATCAGTTAGCTGCGTTTTGTTGCGAAGGGCGTTGGCGAAAAAAAATCTTATTAGCACATATGTATACATTAATGTTTAATTTGTACTGACCTGAAGGTGTCATGCCGCCATGCTGCAAACCCACAGGGGTCATTCCACCATGGTGAAGGCCCGCCGGGGTCATTCCACCATGTTGTAAACCCGCTGGAGTCATTCCACCATGATGTAAACCAGCTGGGGTCATTCCGCCATGTTGTAGGCCGCCCGGGGTCATACCCCCATGTTGTAAACCGCCTGGGGTCATTCCACCATGTTGTAGGCCGCCTGGGGTCATCCCTCCATGTTGTAAGCCGCCAGGGGTCATTCCCCCGTGTGTTAAGCCACCAGGGGTCATTCCACCGTGTTGTAATCCCGCCGGGGTCATTCCCCCGTGTTGTAATCCCGCTGGCGTCATTCCGCCATGGTCTAAGCCACCTTAAATATTTATAGTGTAATAATGTCATGTAAATCGTGTAAGTAAGCATGAAAGGCAACTAAAGCTACTCTTTCGAGTAATCTATTCTGAAAGCCACCGTATTTTGAAAGTAATTGACATCTAAATTTTTGCTACAGTTAAATTTTTAAATTTGTTAAACTTTTAGTTTAAGTTAAAGTTTGACGACCTCCGTGGCCGAGTGGTTTGTACGCTAGGTTTCAAGGTGACGCCTACTCGAGAGGTCCCGGGTTCGTTATATATGTATTCTATCCGTTACCCTAGTTAGTATCTAGATTGATTGATGTAAGTGATGGAAATGTTTATTTATTTTTATTAAATGAGTGGAATGGCAATAGTGTACTTAGAATATAAAGAAATCTAAATTTCGACATAACCATTACAATCACATCCTCTGAATCTATTATTTTGGCTCATGAGTAGGAAGAGGGAGAGAATAAGAATATATTTAGAACGAGAGTGGATCTTTTAAGATACAAGTGACCCCCCCTCGCTTCGCTTTAGTGACTATCGTAGTTTTTGTTAGTTAAAGTTTCTTTTACACTTTCATTTTAATCATTCTTTTTATAAAAACTGCATTAAAATCTGTTGTGTAGTTGAAAAGATCTAAGCATACAGACAGCGGGAGCGACTTTGTTTTAGACTATGTAAAGATTAGCATACCTGGCGTCATTCCTGAGTGATGTAATCCCGCTGGCGTCATACCGCCGTCTAAGCACAGCCCAGGCGTCATACCGCCCGGGGTCATACCTGCATACGATAAATAAATATCAGATCGTACAGTTTTTATAATTCTGGCTTTAAAACCAATGTGATATTGAATAACCGACTAGCAAATAATATATAATAGGCAACCATTACTGACTGTTATTCCAAAGCACAGCTCAAACCACTGAACGGTTTGCGCTGAATTTTGGCATACATAAAGCTATTATGATGAAGGCATGTACTAAGAAAGGATGTTCCAAAACTCACCCCTAAAGGGTAAAAACAAACTGAGTATAATACTACACACCGTGGTAGTTTAAAAAATTTTTTTTGAAGTAATCCTATAACCTGGCGTTAAGTTATTTTTATGGAGGCTTTGGTAATATTTACCGCCATGATGTAGACCTGCGGGCGTCATGCCTCCAAGATCCGGCTGCTGGCCGTGTTGGAGACCAGCTGGTGTCATTCCACCATGCTGGAGACCACCTGCATAATAAATAAGTAATGATCATCCTACAAATATTATAAATGTGAAAGTTTGTAATGTTTGATACTCAATCACGCAAAACCTACTGAACGGGTTTGGATGAAATTTGGTACGCATATAGTTTATGACCTGGATTGACGCATAGGATAAAAAATAATTTCCTGTGGATTTACGCAAAACCTAAATTTACGCGACTGCGCGTCTGCTAGTAAGAAATAACAAAGGTATAATATAGTGGCTAACAGACACACACTTATACTTATTTTACTAATATTATAAATGTGGATGAAATGAGGAGCTCGATGGCGCAGGTGGTTAGCGCGTTCGGCTGCGATGGTTGAAGTTAAGCAACTTTCGCAGTGGTCGGTCATTGGATGGGTGACCCAGAACATCTATCTCGAGTTCCTCCGTGCTTCGGAAGGCACGTTAAGCCGTTGGTCCCGGCTGCATCTGCAGTCGTTAGCACCCGCCAATCCGCACTGGGCCCGCGTGGTGGGTCATGGCCCAATCTCCCTATTCCATCCGTAGGGAAGGCCTTTGCCCCAGCAGTGGGGACATTAATTGGCTGATGATGATGATGATGATGATAAATGTGGAAGTGTGCGTTTGTTACTCAGATCCCACGAAACTGGGCTGGGTTTTTTATGGTTAGCAGGCTCACAAATTACAAAACATTTTGTCATTTTTCCTACTCTAACATACACTCGGGCGATTAAACTCAAATTGGACTTGAACTGGTCCAATATGTGTTTTATTAAATACTAGCTGACCCGGCGAACTTCGTACCGCTTACAATAATAGGGTATTTTGATGTTTTTAGTTTTTCAGCATTTAACAGCTAGGTGTTTAAATCTAAAGAAGTTTACTAGAAAAAATTCCACGCGGAGCAGGAGGCAGACGGGATTCGAACCCGCACCCTTTCGCTATCCGGGCGAATGCACTAACCATTATGAAATTTCTCTAGCCTTAGGCTGCAGGCAGCGCCAGCTCTTCACATATATATATATACATTGGGTAACCCACAATGTGATTCACAAAGTTTTTAATTATTTGTTCTCCCAGAATAGTAAAATCACTGCTCATATTCATTTCAACTACAGATGCCAGTAATTACTACTTTTTTTACATACTGTCAGATAACCTTTTTAGAAGAAATGATGGCCCCGAGACACCTGAGTTTACTGTGCCGAATGGGCGAACGTCAAATGTTTAATGGGAAAATGAAATTGGTGTTTTTACTATCTTCCTCGCTATTTCTTCCATATTTTCCCACCATTCAAATCAGCTAAATCGGCCAAGGCGGTCTCGAGTTTTAAACAGACAAACGAACCACAATTGATTTTCATATACAGTGGTGATCACATAATTAAAAACACTCCCTAATTGACCACAAAAAACTTATGGTACTAAAATTGGTATTTTAATCTAGTGTTATTGTTACTAAACTATACACGACATTGTATTCTTACAATGTGGGATAAAAAATTGTTGTGTTCGATAGTAGTTTAGACACTGCTCACTTTGGGAAAAACACAAACTTTTTCAACGTACTTGTAGCTGGCCAGCTAATTAAAGACAGTGAAAGGTGTTCTGAATTAAAAAAAATATTAATTATATGACCACAGCTGTATATAGAAAGATAAAGAACATTGCGATGCCTCATCTACATATTAGTGACGTACCGGGAGTGATGGAGCCGTGATGCAACCCACCGGGGGTAATTCCGCCCTGCAGCAACGTGCCGGGGGTCAGGTGCCCCAGCCCGCCGGGGGTCAGGGGGGGTCCCAACGAACTCAACATGCCTGGACACAAAGAATACTTTTTTAAGAAATGAATTTAATATACATTAATCAATAATAATCGCTGATATAAACCCCTCAATAAACAAGGAAGCCTTTTTTATTGTTGGGAAAATGCGAGATTCATACCCCCGCCCTTGGGATAAAGACGAGGTTAGACTAGGGCTGCCATCCGTCCGGGTTTTCCCGGATTTGTCCTAGTGTACGGGGCGTCCGGGGACCGTCCGGACGGGGTTTTATTTGTAGTCCGGGTTTAAAAATTTAAGGCAACGCATGAATGGCCCTTGGTGCTGCAAGTGTCCATGGGCAGCAGTGACCACTTATTATGAGGTAGACCGCTGCTCTTTTGCCTAAATCAACATAAAAAAGTTGATTTGTGATATTTTTAACTGTTTTTTCATTGGTCTGTCCGGGTTCTGGGCTTTAAAATCCGGGGTTATCACGCGTCTTATCCTGGTTGGCACATTTTAGAGATGGCAGCCCTAGGTTAGACTAGGAAGCCTGCACAATAGCAATTTTAAATACAAAAGCGTCTACTGCGCAGGTTTATTTGTCTTTAGTTTTGCTCAAGAAGTTTTGTGCCATCTATAAGAAGAATAGGCGCACTAAACTTATTAGTATTTAAAACGCATCAACTTATTAAGAATTATGAGAAACTCTAAATATTTGTCCATTGGTGATTTAAGCTACCATAAAGATTGACAGAATATGAAATAATTGTATAAATTCTAGACAACTCAAAAGAATTACTGTTTATTCTCAAACTAATTTGCAGTAATTCTATAACACTTAAATCCAAACTAATATCATAAGGGGTGGAAGTTTGTATAGTAAAAAATTTACGAACGCGGACGAAGTCGTGCCCACCCACTAGTAACGTATTCATATATAATTAAGTAGATTAACTACCATTATGTCTTGAAATCATATATTTGTACCCATTTACTCAAATAAAAGCGCCAACCGGGATCACAGAATGGTTCTCCAAATGGCCCTAGATTCGAATCCCGAATATTAACTGTGTGATGAAAATCATATATTTTATATATTATGTCGGATGATTTGATAAATCGAATTTTGTGAATGCCGGTGGGATTCTCATTCTTACTGAAAAAAGATAAGATTTTATCGCGAGTCGCCTCAGTAAGATTGCGAAAAGAATCTTTTTATAAATATTCTTGGTGTTTTGGGTTCACAGGTTAGTATTGTGACCATGACGCACGAGCCGAGAAAGAAAAAACAAATCTTTAACAGTAAAATTGAGCAATATCATCATCACAATTGTCTAATTATCCGCGTTTTCGCAAAATCCGCATACACAATTCACATAGTACAAGCTCTGTTTAGTTTAGGTAACAATAATTGTTGTGAGTTGTTCGGAATATATCACAACAATAATTCAAGCAAATGTAAAATGAGGCTGTCAGCGCAAAAGTGGCCTAATCCTTAATTATTCATAGTCTGATTCATCGTCTACAATTAAATAAAAATGTGTTAAAATTTAATTTAACTCTTGTTTCACGAGGCATCAATAGATGGCGTTGCAAAAGTTCTTTTTTTTTCTCAACGTAAACTTCATAAGTGGCCTTAGTAAGCCGTTTAAATAGAAAATGAAATTGAGGGTTAGGCCACTTTTGGGCTGACAGCCTCAAATGTAAATTGATCTCTATTATGAAGCTATTAAGGTCGTCACCTGGCGTGCTTGGTGGTTCGACGTCGTCCTGCCGCGGAGTCTGTGGGTAGCCGCCCGCATCCGCCACCCGTTCCGACTCTATCCGTGCACCAACCAGTTAGTGAGTTAGCGACATTCAGGTATAATAATAGAGTAGGGGAGAATATACTTTACTACAAGTGAAAGTGTCCCTCTAATAGAAAGAAGATGAGAGACCGCTAGCTTTCTCTCTCTAATCGCGCATGCGCATTGGCAACCGTAAGCATCGTACTATTTCGATGTGATGCCATTGGATGTCATGCGTCACAACAGAGAGAGATAGCTAGCGGTCACTCATGTTCTTTCTCTTTCTACTAGACGGATACTTTTAGAGCCACCTTCCCCACTCTATTCTTATACCTCTATGGTTAGCGATGTATGTATGTACATAGAAAACGTTTGCTACATAGAAAACTATCACTAGTCATTTCACTTATTTTAATAGAACTAATGATAAATTTCATTTCTGTTAATATGACTGAATTGGCATTTAATGTAATAAAATAATATTTTTATGTGTATGCATGTTCAGTGTTGCAATCTTAATCGCTTTTTTCAATTATTGTAGTAATAAGTCTGTACCCATAGTGACTATAATATGTTATGTATACCGAAAAACAGAAAAACACTGTGTTTAGATTTGCTGTTATCCAAAACAATCAAATCATATGTGTACATGTACAAGTGGGACCCGAGTACTTAAACAAAAGCAGTAATTTAAATCATTAGTTATTTATACGTTTATAGCATTATATTTAAAAAAGAACATTATTATGTGGCAAACTTTTTCTAACAAGATTGACATTAGCAGTAGGTTAAAATTAATATAGTGAAATAGATAACGTTTAAAATGTGAGTTTAGTTTGAAAGCAGTGAGTGATATCATCAATGGATGAAGCAGCAATAAAAATTTGATAAGTTTCTATTTACAATATTGTAAATAGAAACATATCTCTGCAGCCCAAGTGGAGATCTTATTTCGAACTTATTCAAAAATAATGTATAATAACTTAATGACAGGCTACCTAAAAAGATTTATCTTTACGTTATGTTAATTCATTTCTTATTATATTAAACACAAACTTTAAAATCTCGAGGCTAGTCGTGAATTTTGTCTCATTTCAGACGACTACTTTTGTATATGTATGTTTTTAAAGAGTTCACGGAAGCTAATTGACTTCAAGAATATCGTTCAAAATCAGGAATATTCGTTGTTTGCTATGGCCATATTAAATACAGATTAATAAATATAGCTTAAAGCTGATTAAACTTTTACAACTATGGGGCCGTCCATATATTACGTCATTCTAAATTAGGGGGGGGGGGGGGGTCGAAATTGACGTCATTCTTATTTATTTATTTATAGTTTATTGTTCACGTACAAAAAGATTATTTCTAAAAAGAAATTTCTTCCAGCACACCTAGTAAGTGAGACTGCAAATGTGAGAGGCGGCTAAGGCGCGTACAATACTAAAATAACTCATAATAAACATACATAATGCAACATAGATGTACACAAATACAGTAATAACTACAGATAAAATACTCTAACAATAATATTACACATAATACTAGCTTTTCTCAAATCTGCAATGTTTTAATTTTGTCAAACTGGTAATGACGTCAATTTTTGGAGAAGGGGGGGGGGGGGGGTCATTAAGAAATGACGATAGGATGATTGTAGGGGGGGGGGGGTCTAAAATCTGAAAAAATCGATGACGTAATTTATGGACGGCCCCTATTTTATAGCAGCACCTTAATCTCCATAATTATATAATATAAGTATAACCACCTTGCTAGCATACGGGAACTGAATATTTAATATTTGTGCCAACACAATTATTTTTATATTATTTACCAAATCAATCTCAAATTGCCTGGTTAAATGTTATTTGTTGTCCATGATAATAGTATGTGCGGTAAAAGGCTATATATAACAACAATATTAAATACCCTAGAAACACCATGTGCGCTCAAAATGTGTCCCAAGAAGTGCTTGAACGTCACGCGCGGACCGTTGAAAAGTCAATTTGCAGCGGAGCTCCGTAAATAGATGCGAAAAAAATACTTATAGTATGTAAAGTGACGTTTTTTCGGTAGGTACAGGTATCTAATCAATGTTAGTTAATTTAACGCATTTAAAGCAAATTTTGTTCTAGTACTTAATATAAACTGATTTAATATATTATATTATGTTATACAGCCATCTCTTTTCCTCACGGTCCGTACCTGCTATATTACTAACAGCGCATTCAAAATTGCGCGTAGAGTCAAAGAAATAAGGTCTATATTCTTCTGCATATAGCAATAAGTCGTAAAATTTTACGAATTTGCATTTTGAACTATCACCACTTTTTGATGCATGCGTTTTAGTTAAGACCTTATACAGTAGGCATTGAAGGTGATTTTCAATGTTTAAATAATGCCTTATATTGTTTTTGACAACGCGATCATCTTACGGAGCCCGTGGATCGTCCAATATACATTTGAAACCTGTCCCGGTTTCGGGCACGATTTTGTTCGTGTTGGTGTATCTAGGGTATTTATTTAATATCGTTGATCTATAATTTTAATGTTTCCCACTCACCAACTGAAGGTTCGTATTCCTGTGGAATCGGCGTGGGCGGTTCGAGTTCTGGTGGAGGTGGCGCTGGTGTCTCTGGCTGTTGGATGGTCTGTTGGCGAGACTGTATTGTGATTTATAAATGGGCTTTAAAGCTACGTTATCGGGCCTGTACCATTAGTACGAGTTTAACAATTACGAAAACTATAATAGTTTTCGTGAGCTCGCACTGTACTAAGGGTACTGATATTATTGTTTTCGTTTCAATACAAATAAACAGTTTTTAAATTCTATCATTAAATCATTTGCGTCTTCTTCAATTTTAAGTATATTTGGTTACTTTTCACCAAAATGGACATAGAAACATAATTTACAATTACGAAAACTATGATTGTATTCATGAGCTCAAACTCGTACCAAGGGTACTGTATGCTATAAAGGTTGAAAATTGCGAGTTAGTCGTATTGATATTCTGTATACTTGTTATAGTTCAGAAATAAAGATAATAGGCTAATTGACAAGTTTTAGAGAACGATTTGACGTTATTTACTAATGTCAATGTAGTCCATAAGAAGTGGATATTCATCATTCTGTAGAGTATTTTATTAAAACAAAATTATTATTATGATGACCTCCGTGGCCGAGTGGTTTGTACGCCGGGTTTCATGGTGTCGCCAACTCGAGAGGTCCCGGGCTCCCAATGGGGGCAGATGTTTGTGTGCTGAATACGAGTATTTGTACTCCAGTCATGGATGTTTAATATGTATTTCTATAAAAATATACTAATATATGTACAATATAAATGTATTCTATCCGTTACCCTAGCATCCCATAACACAAGCCTTACAGTGGTTACTTTGGGGCTAGGCTAATTGTTGTGAGTGTTGGATATGTTTATTATTATAATTATTACCTCCTCGTGCCGTCGCTTGCGGCCGCCTCGCCGCACCGGCTCAGGGTCTGGGGAACGCGCCTCGCCTTCCTCAGTCTCGCTACGCAGCGTCATGTTGCGTTGGTATTTCTGTCAATAAAACATTATCATTATAAACCTTCATTAGGTGAAATAACGTAACTGAGATCATTGTAGGCGATACATGAATAGAAACAAGGTTTACGTAGAGTTTAGGGAAGTCTAGAGAAGTCATCACTTAGATTTAACTTCCGAAAGAAGATATTTTCTACTGCATTACTTTGAAAAGGACCTTTGAAGGTCTTGCGGGTAAAGTAAAAAGCTTTTCAACACCACCAGTCCCTTTCCAATGCATGAGACGGCGAATAGGTGACGCCAGGTATAAAGTGGTAATTTTTTCCGATTGATAAACGCTTACAAAGTAAATTATTACTTTGAATAGAACCCGGAAACAATAGCTAACTATAAATAACTTTTTTCATGCACATATTACCTTGAAAAGGACCCTTGAAGGTATAGGTCTTGCGGGCAAAGCGAAAAGTTTCTCCACACCGCCAGTCTCCTTCCAATGCATGAGGCGTCTAGTAGGCGGCGCCAGGTCTAAAGTGGTCACTATATCTGAGGTGTTGGACAACTGGTTCTTCATCTCCTCGCCCGATATGTTCTTCACTTCGTCCACTATGAGCTTGCGTTTGCGTTTCGTTTTTGTTATACCTGTGTGAATTGATTTTGTTGTTATCGAATTGAAAATGCTTACGCTATATTACACGTAACCAACAATATTAAAAACCCTGCAGACAACATAACGAAGACAATTGTAGCCGAAATCAGTCCAAAAGGTACATTGAACGAGCCACAGAGCTCCGTGGGATGATCGCGTAACCAAAAACAATATACGGCATTATTGAAACATTTAAATTAACTATTAATAAATAAGGCCTTAATTGGCATTGCACGCATTCTATTAATACGGATCGGTTATTACAAATATTTTCTATTAAATCAGTTAATAGTAAGTACTAGAACCAAATTTGCTTAAAATGCATTAAATTACCAAACAAAGATTAGATACCTGTCGAAAATCAACAATCTACGGAGCTCTGTGGCAAAGACTTTTTAACGGTAGCATTCAAGAACTTCTTGATTAGGATGGATTTTCAATTTTAAACGCTCGTACTTATCAAGGTTTTTTAATATCATTGCTTAAAACTTATAAATAAAAAGCCCAAATTAAACCTTAGATTTAAGGTATTTGACTGTAGTACCCTTGAGCACGCACGAGCGCGAAGGACTCCTTGTCGTTATTATAGTAAGGTTGTGTTAAATCTAATAAATAAAAAGTCCTGCTAATACAAATGAAACCTTAGCCCAAGCACAAATTTTTGACAGCTACGAAACGTCAGTTTCTATGGCCCTTGAGACACTGTTTTGTATGAAAACAGTATCTCTCAAGATCGTGGTCTTAAGAGTTGAGAGCGGTCTATTAAATACGGACCTAAGAAAACTAAGCAGCTATCGAACGTAAAAATAAACTGGCTTTTTCCATACAATATTCGACGATACGTTACGAGCAGCCAAAATTTCGAGCTTGGTACCACTAGCACTTATCGCAGCAACCAGTATCGAATTAAATCTACTTTATACGTCAAATATCTACTTATTTTTAGTTCTCGTTACTTCCGTAGTGGCGCTGCTGTTCAAGTTTCCATGCAAAATTTGACAATGACATTTCGCATTCGCAACCAATTCGAATTCGATATTGGTTCGCGCTAAGCGTACAAGCCTCTTATATCGAACGTATGTGATTACTAGCGGCCGCCCACGACTTCGTACGCGTGGAGTTAGTTCACTGCTCGTTCCCCGTAGGTGATAGCGACATTATATGTAGACGACTTCTTATTAATATTCGTGCCAAAGAAGTAAATCCATGCAGTAAATCAAACTTTGACGAGCTTTAACTTTGTAATTTTTTGGTTGATTGCCCAAAGAAAAAATATGTGTCCATTATTTTTCGATCATCTAATTGACGGACTAAATAAAATTTCGTTTACTGTAACCCCGTCATCACCACTATTATACCGTTTTGTTCGCCAGCTCCTCATATGTATAAATTTAGATACGTTACCCTTGAGCACGGTGGCGTCGACAGGCGCTAGCGCAAAGGACTCCTCGTCGTTGTGCAGTAAGGTTGTGTTGTCGGCTGCGGCCGCGGTCTCAATTGCGGGAGAAGTCGGTCGTTCGGGCTCTACGTCCGGTTGTTCTACCTCCTACAAACATATAAAATTAAATCTAAAGAAAATATAACTAGAAAAAATTCCACGCAATTATAATGCGAAAAGATGGTGCTGCCTTGCAGTTAAGAATGGCTAGAAGAGTTTCGACGCGGTCCGTTAGGGCCGCGGTAGCATAATTGGTCAGTGCATTCGCCCGGATTGCGAAGGGTGCGGGTTCGAGTCCCGTCTGCTGCATGGTCCGCGTGGAATTTTTTCTAGTTATATTTTCTTTAGATTTAAACATCAAGCAGTTACATGCTTTAAAATAATAAAAAATAAATTATAAATATAAAATTAATATATTTTTTTCTTGTGCTTGCATTTCAAATGGCTATTTTTGTTTGGCATTGAAATTGTATTTGCTATTTCAGGGGTATACAATCAAAGTTGCAAAATTTTAAAAGTGAGATTTAAATTACAACACATTCATTTTCGTATATATTTATCCCGTAGAATAATTTTATACAAATTCTAGAAATCTCGACTGTCATTTCAAATTGAAAATTGACTTTACAAACAAACATAGCAAAGTCCAAGTGAGTTGAGTTTCAATTTGCGTAAAGTCCTTTTCCACCAATAGGAAGGCTCCATTGCCTCCATTTCACTGACAGCTGTCATGGCCGCCGCCTTTGATGTTGTAATGCTCTTTTGTTGTGTTACAGTTACAAAACTTAGTAAAGTCCAAAACTTGGTAACAAAACTGGGAAAGTCTATCTTATACTTGAATGAAAAAGAGAGACCTCAGTAGAATTTACAAAAAATAATTGTGTGGTTTTATAAAACCACGATGCCAGTGACATTATTAAAGTGTTTTAGGTCGCCTCAAATTTTTATACTTATAGTTGAAAGCCGATAATCGAACCCGGGCCGCATATTATTTGTATTCTTATTAAATTTACTTTTAATAAGAATACAAAATATAATGCGACATGCTGAAAGAAAAAATTTGTGGCGAGGCGACGTTATAAAAAGCTTTTTTAATATTCACCATAGGGCTAGTAGAGGGAGGTCGCGGCGCGGGCGGGGGCATAAGCTTAGCGGCATCCGCCATTGGTTCAACCGCCGCCTCGTGCGGTGGAGACCCGCCCCAACTGTAACAAAGACCAGATTTATAAAAGAAAAAAAAGAATTTTATTAGCCTTAAATAATAAGATTTTGATATTTTATCTTGATCTCCATCTTCTTCAAAAGTGATGTCCCACTTAATATTTCCTAAACTACAAACCATCTCTTCTTAATCTTGCGATTGTGTCTAACCTTGATTTATGGACAAATGACAGAACCTTTTTCCTATCACAACCTTATTTTTCTTACTTACAAAGTACGTGTTCCCAAAGCTAAACCTAGAGTTCGTCTTCTGCGCAATTATAAGCTAATAGATCTTGAACGCTTGAGGGCGATTAGAGAAACATAGATTGATCAGCAGTTCTACTTGCTCACAATATAGATGCGATGGTGGAATATTTTAATATCGTACGCTCACCAAAATTTACATTACACTCCAATGCGACCAATTCGCCTTAAACACATTATAGCCCCTTGGTTGAATCCCACCAATAAGTGACGACCCAAACTGGTTTTTACAACCGAAACGGAAATACGGCAACGGCCTCAGTTTCGGCCGAAACCGAAACTTCCTTATAAGGATCATGTTTTGAGAGAAAAATAAAGAAAACGTGATTATAGTCATCAGTTTTATTTTTATATCTTTAAACCACATAGCTCTGCAGTCTTTGACATTTTCACGTATTGATTGCGGAAAAAATTATAGCCCGAGATAGAGAAATATATATGCTATGAAGAAGAGATTGGTGACAAACACTGATTAGTTAATGCAAAAGGGTATTTGACAAGTTTTAGAAAACAATCTCACGTTATTTACTAATATTTGTGGAGCCCCAGTGGATATTCATAATAGGGAAGATGCAATATTTTTATTTTTGTTTTCATTTTAAAGAATTCCATGTAGAATAAACCACAGATATATTAAAAAATTAAAACATTGTGATTTATCGGAAAAAATGCGGTTTTAAATTGACAATTTAAATTTTCGCGCGAAAATGAACCTATGTTTGCGATGACGTCACTCCTGTCTGTCACTGGTCGTACTTGTTCGTTGCTGGCTTTAAATTTTCATACTTTTTCGAATTTCGAAATATTTTTTTGAAAAATTTAAAATGGACTATCCATCAACATCATGTGATCATAACAATACCACTAATATTCCGAAAAAAAGCCGTGTTGACTCATGTTTTATGCCAATCTACTTCAACAAAGTTCCCAAATAAATTGTTTTTGACTGGAACTTCTGACCCAAAACTGAAAAAAAAAGTGGTTTCAAGCTTGAAGAGAAATGATAATTATTCTCCAAAGACCATAATATTCGATGCTGAGAAGATCACTTTGACGTAAGTCGGCGAATATACTTGTTATATGCTTAATTAATCTGCTTGTACGTAAAAACGCATTAGTAACCTACCTAATACTTACAAAACCTGTCTATAACATATTTTTAATTTTACAGTTGGAGAATGACGTCGAAAATTAGATAAAGTTTAAAATGTGTGGCACAATCTTCACATTGGCAGGACTGAACCAAGCTTTGCGTTTCATTTAAAATAACTGTAACACGATAACCTTCTTTACGTACTTTATGCTCCGGAGAACTCGACCTTTTACTGTACATAATTCTCCATCCCTTTTAATTTGGACATAGCCGATTGCATTATCGCCGTAAGATTTGTAGAAGCCGCTGAATAAAATACGAAGTTTAACAACTACGATTTTTACATACCGTAGTAATTTAGTCCCTTTCATTTCTACACTTAAAAACAAAAAAAGAAAAACAAACACTTTGGACAAAAAAAGTTATAACCATGTCAACGCTAACTCCTGGTAAATTCCTGGAGTTTGCTTTGATAAACGCAACTTCCATTTTTATAAAATGTAAAAAAACGCAATAAATATTCCCATAAAATAATATTTACTTTAACAACAATAACCTCAAAGAAGTTGTCATAACAGGAGTGACGTCACTAAACGCTGATTGGTGTTTTAAAATACGTTCCGTTTCAAGTATTTTTAATTCGTAATAATTGTTAAAAAACAACATTATGTAAAATAAAAACGTTGCAGTGGCATTTCTTTTATATTTTTTTAACATTTTAATCATAAAATTTTCATAAATATTATATATGCATCTTCCCTATTCTATTGTGTATTTCAGTAAAAAAAAACTAAATTAAAAATATTTTTTCAATTGGCCGCGAAAATGTTTCTCTGGACATTATGGTCACTGGTATGTGACGTCACATGACTGTCATTTAAACGTCAAACGATAAAATGTAATATCACTTTGACCGGAAGTTTATTAGCTTGTGACGTCATTTGAATCTTCGCCGGTCCCAGGCGTAGTCACATGACCATAAAACAAAAAAATACTTCTATTTCATATTTTCTTAGAAAAGTTATTAATTATTTGTTCTCTCAGAAAATTAAAATCGCCGCTATATTTAATAGAGATACCAAGAATTGGTACTTTATTTATCATCCTGTCAAATAGTCTATTGTTGTCATTGCTATCTTTTTCGATAGATGATACTATTGATTACTTCTTTGGCTAAATGACCACAACCTTAATATAAATTTTGAAAAAACTAAAATATTGGTATTTCGACCATATCAAAAGAAACCTCTTAAAATAAACTTCACAACACGGGGTAGAAAGATAGAGCATGTAAACAATTTTAAATTATTAGGAGTTAATATAGACTGCAACTTTAACTGGAAAAGTCATATTGAATATATATCAAATAAACTATCCAGATTCATCTATGCACTAAATGAGTTAAAAAGATCAACTGATACACACACTGCCAGAATAGCTTATCTCGCATATGCACAATCATGGTTGCGATATGGCATACCTATTTGGGGAAACAGTTCGGATGCTCCTAAATTACTTACGCTACAAAAAAAATGTATAAGAATCATGGCCAATATAGATACAATGGAAAGCTGTAGACCATTTTTCATAAAATATAAAATACTAACTGTAACGTCTTTATATATCCTGGAAGCATGTAAACTAGTAAAAAAGAACCAAAATATTTTTGTAAATCGTAAAGATAATTATACTGGATCAACACAACTTAGAAGTAGATATAAATTTGTAGTACCAAAAACTACGCTATCAATAGTTGGATCAGGGCCGTATTCAATGGCGATTAAATTGTACAACGAGTTACCAAAGCATATTAGACAGATAGACGAATACGATAAGTTTGTTACAACCTTAAATGATTACCTTGTTAATAAATGTTTTTGTAAATTATGTGAATACTATAGGACTATTAAATAATTTCAAATATTAAAGACACCTTGACATGCTGATTATTATTATTCTTATTATTATTCTTAATTATTATTGTTAAAATTGACTTGATATTTATTTGATAATTGTTAATATACTACTACTTATAATGTCGACATAAATTTAATTTTAGCTATAAGTTCAATATTGTTATGTCCTAACAAGACTCATGTGTTTGTACCATATAACAATGTTAGACCTTATTTACCACATGAAATGCAATAAAATTTCTGATTCTGATTATTTCGAGTGAAACTTTTGATTATGTTTGTGTTTTTTTTACCTGTTTTTTGTAATTTGTATCTATAAGACACTATTATATCGCGATACCCTAACAGGATTCAGGTTGGGTACTTTATGCATTTTGTAACTTGTAACCATCTATGTAAACACATGAGTGCAATAAGTTGAATTGAATTGAATATTCACCTGTGTTGCGGCGAGTTCCCCGCATCGTAATGGTCGCCCATGTCGTCGTCCGAGTCGGGCGGTTCCCCTGCCGCGGTCGGAACGTCCGTCTGTCCTTCACCGACGCCAGCGGCGTCTATTTCCGCCTGTGCGCAATTTATTTTTCTCCATTAAAACTAGGGTTGCCAACCCTACTATATAATATAGTATCCTACTATATTAGGGGATCAAATAATAAATTTAAAAAAAAAATAGTAGGCGAAGCTACTATATTTAGCTTAAAGCAGATTTTTCCAGATAAAGCGTTCTTAGAAATAAAAAAAAAATATTATTAAGGTTTTTCAGAGTAAAAATATATTCATTTTAAAAATATAGTAGTTATTTTAACCACATACTATATTTTTTCCATCTTTTTTTTCATCTACTATATTTTTAGAGGTAACAGCTTCGAAAATACTTTATTTAATAGAAAAAAAGTTGGTAACCCTAATTACAACCGTCCACGAATACATGATAAAATAACAAAACATATTTACACATTCAGTGTATGGGATTTAATGTAGACTGCAATGGGGAAGACAAGGCAGAGCTCTTTATAGATAGCGCTTTGGTCATATTGCCCATAACAAGCAACCTGTCATTTCAAAGCCGCGTACTACTTCTTCTTCTTTTTAATGGCTTAACGGGGATTTACCCACAATTCCGCCAATTTCACGTGGTTAGTCACTACACGACAGGGATACTTAATAAACTTAATTTTGAAACAAGAGGTTAAAAATACTTTGTTAAAGTTATTGACACTTCCTATGTTGATTTAACGTTCCTGTAACAAAACGTACTAAACCTACGCTTTTACTGACGTTTCAATTTTGACATATTGTATGTTGTGTATGAACCTTCTGCCAAATTTGACATTTTTTGCACCTGGAGCGTAGGTCTGGAACGCAGCCCAAGTCTTTCGAGATTTTCGGTTTTGACAGCTTTGACAGCTGTCTCAATGTACCATTATTACGGGCCATTCGACACCTGCGCCTCTGGGGAGATGAATCGGCAGTTTTCTTACCCATTCAAACTAAAGACTGATTTATGTCTATGGTCTCTCGTACTAGCTAAAAGAGTCTACGGTCTCACCTGCAGCGACTGCGGTTGCTGCGAGGCGCCGGGCATGCCGGGAGTGGCGCCTGCACCGCTGCTTCCCGCAGTCACATCCCCGAACAAATCCCCCTCGAACAACCCGCCCGCGTCTACAATGATAAGTATAATTTATAAAAATCTTATGTTTTTTTTAAAGCATTTAACTGCTAGATGTTTTAATCTTAAGAAAACTTTACTAGAAAAAATATTACCAAAAAATAATAATAATTTAATTATTTATTAATTAAAAAAATATTATTATTATATTATGCTGTGGATTACCTACAATGCGAAGAGAAGGCGCTGCCTTGAAGCTTAAGGCTAGAGAAAATTCGACACTGCCGTCAAGGCCGTGGTAGCATGATGGTTAGTGCATTCGCCCAGATAGCAAAGGGTGCAGGTTCGAGTCCCGTCTGCTGCCTGATCCGCGTGGACTTTTTTCTAGTAAACTTTTCTTTATAAAAATCTTTTATTTATTTCTACCCTCACATAAATAATCCAATACAATATCTTAAACAAAATGGCGACGCGTATTTTCTATGATCAATGTGTGCGCATCGCGTTGCGTCGGTTGTTCCTAATGTGATGCTGATCATATAAAATAGTACATTTGGTTTGATTCAACACGCGTCGGGTGGCGTCGCGTTTCACAAGTCTATTTCGGCCTTAATACTTGTATGGAGATAGACATGTGAAAGACACTGTATTAAGTGAGGGAGGGAGCGTTCAAGTATTACGTAACGCAAATATTGAAGATTTTTGATCGAACCACCCTCCCGCCCCTGTAACGCATTGTAACGTTTTACAAGACACTCCCTAGCCCCCAAATTGCGTAAAGTAATACTTGAACGCCCCCTGACCTGTATTATTGAAGCTGTGCCCCTCGATTGCACCTGCGTAAATTTGAAGAAAATGTTATAGGCAACCATAAGAGATAGAAATAAGCTTGCGCGGTTTTAGATCTTAAAAAAATACAATTTCGTCATTCATTATTTTTGATTAATTATTTCACCATTTTGCAACATTTTTACACCACTTAAACCAGTGGTGTAGGTTTTTTTTATTATTTTTTTATTAGATAGGTCCGACAAGGTTGGGTCTTAGATGCAAATTTTAGCCAAAATTTCTCATGAATGATGAATTATTACTTGAAAACAGCTGAATTGTAGTTGAAAATTACTAGGTTCATTTTACCATATTTGCCTAAATCACTAGTTTTAAATAAGGCTTCTGTAAAAGAACATTTTTATAGATTCTGGTGTTAAAAATAGTCCTAAATCGTAACCATATTTCAATATCTTATGAGGTCTGGTCAAATTATAGATATTTTGTAGAAACACTAGTATTATGTGCCTGCAAGCACCTGTAACGAAATGTCATCACAGAATGGACATTCTGATTTTTGCAAAAATTACGCTGTACGTTTTATTTTATTATATGTTAAGCAAATAGGCCATACAACCACAATAGCTTTTCTCTTGTTCAAAACTCTGACAAATGTCAATATCACTAAAAGGTTAAGAACCACTGGTTTATAGTATAGACTAGCGGCCGCCCGCGATTTCGTACGCGTTTAGTTTTAGTTTTTTTTTCTAAAATAAAAATAGCCTAAGTTACTCCTTATTACATCAGCTACCTGCTAATAAAAGTACCGTCAAAATCGGTCCAGCCATTTCAGAGATTAGCCTGAACAAAAAGACAGACAAAAATTGTAAAAAAAAATGTAGTAAAAACCGGTTATTTTAATATTATTACAAACAGACTCTTCAATTTTATTTATATGTATAGATAACACAACTCACGTCCGAAATCAGCAACATCTCCAATGGTGCCTCCGAATCCATCGTCCATGGGTCCATGCGGCGCGGCCTCCATACGTCGTTCGTGCGCCGGCGTAGCCAATGAGGGCACCGCCCCGCTTGTACTGGCCACGCCCGCGTCCTTCCCGCCCAGCTCTAACGACGAACCGTCCGCGAACAAGAGGTTACTCTGACCCAACAAACGGTATACATACAGTAAGTTCCAAGCAAGATTAAGCTCACATTAGGTTGGACAAAATTTACAATTTCGGAAAGATAACTTTTTTTCTGAGTCTGCTTTTAAATAGATAATTGTGCGCCGGCGTCGCCAGCAAGGGCACCGCCCTACTAGTGCTGGCCACGCCCGTATCCTTCCCGCCCAGCTCTGACGACGAACCGTCCGCGAACAAGAGGTTACTCTGACCCAACAAACGGTATACATACAGTAAGTTCCAAGCAAGATTAAGCTCAAATTAGGTTGGAGAAATTTTACAATTTCGGAGAGATAACTTGTTTCTGAGTCTGCTTTTAAATAGATAATTGTGCACAGGCGCCGCCAACAAGGGCACCGCCCTACTAGTACTGGCCGCGCCCGTGTCCTTCCCGCCCAGCTCTTACGACGAACCGTCCGCGAACAATAGATTACTCTGACCCAGCAAACGGTACGGTATACATTATTATTTCAGATTTTTGAGGCTATGCAGTCCTAATAGAACTGCAGTCACTGTGACCCACAAGATCTGTTGTGACTCCCCACCAAGTCTCTCTTTTAGCCTGACCGATCAAAATGTTTCTAGCTTTTAGACATTTGATTTCCTCCGGGAGTATTATAAGTCGTCTCAAATGAATAACAAGCAAGAAGTACAAATATTAATTGTATTCTTTGTATTTCAAGTTTCAAACTCTTTATGCAGATTTTCAAAGTTATTTTAGCAAATGATTAACACAAGTTTGTATTAAGAATTTTGGAAATTTAACCTGTTTCTATATTTTTTGATATTAGTGGGTTTCAAAATATTATTATATTGTTTATAATGTTATACTTGATGATACACTCTTTCTCCAAATTCCATGGACAGAAGTAACTTTAACAAAAGTTGTTACATCTGTAATGGTTTTGATGACAATATTGGTTTTGATTGCTAGTAAAAATTACAATAGCTATATTCAATTCAATCTTAAAGTCCTGATATGAAAATCTCATACATAATATTATAGGCAATCCCTACCTGAAACGCTAACGCTTACGATTTTATGTTGTTATTTCTAGCCGCCTGAAGTTTTCGAATACCTCACGCTCATTTTTTTTAATATTGTTATTACCAATGCAAAAGAAAAAGAAAGAGCTCGAGGCATTTGAATACCTCAGGCGGCTAGAAATAACAAAAAAAATCGTAAGCGTTAGCGTTTTCTAAAGCATTTCCGTTAGGCGATTGGCCCCCTGCTCTAATAGACAGAAGAAAAGATAATTTTAATTTAATTTATTAATATTAAGTCACTGCTGTTAAGTACTATTCTTAATATTTGCATATAGGATAAATCTCAATTGTCAAGACTGGTGACACTGTCTAATCTTAGAATTTATAATAACTAAACAATATATGAGGTACAATACAATTATTACCTGCTCCAATCCTGCTTCATTACCGATAGCTTCTCTCATGATATCTGGGTTATCTGTATCAAATCCCATATCACCAAAACCATCATCATGTGTCACTAAGTTCAATGAACCATAGTCTTCCCGCATAGTGATTTCCTCAGCACGAGATTGATTGAGTGAAAATTGGGCTTCAATGTCCACCTCACTGAAATATATCAAGTAATCATAAAACTTTGTTTGTTGGGTTTAATATGTGCCATACCAATCATCCAGGTTTAACCCTGATATTTGTTTCCAGAGATCAGGGTTTTTTTTTATTTGCACATTGGTGTGGATACTGCCATGATTCTATAAACCTTAAATTAAATTTGACAACACTTTATTGTTGTCTTTCTCTATGCAGAATGAAAAAGAGGGACTGATGTAAATATTAGTTTTAAGTTTAGAGAATCATTAATCGACACCATAGACAAAAAAAACTTACAATTAATATTTTATCAAAACAGGAGTTCAACTATAACACATTTATATATCAAACATTTCAACTCACTTTAATTCAGGCATAGCAGTATCAAAGTCATGAAAGACTTCAGGTAAAGTAATGGCATTCATAGCAGCTTCCCTATGTTCCTCCGGTAGATCCACCATGCCAGGCCGAAAGGCCATCTACAAACAAATAATAAAAGTATTATAATCAGGACCTATATTAGACTATGCAGGTTCAATATTAAACATAAACTTTCATGCGGTCATTCGGTTACTAATATTGTAGTATTTGTACTAAATGACCACATTAAAGTTCTAAAGTCAATTTATGATCAGTGTATAATAACTGAGTGTTGTTTAGCAGAAAGCTAACAGTGGGCTATTTTGAATAAAGTGAACATTTGTCCTAACCACCATATTAAAGTTTGCTATGTTTGATCCCAAAAATTACCAATGGTTGTTTTCTGCTTTCAGAATCATACTTTAACATTGGTAAATAGAACAAATTTTTGCTAGCTCCAAAAATACCCACTGGCCTACCTGGCCACTAATTTAGGCATTAAAAAATGCTTGAACCAATACTTATAAATTTTATAAACTAACTAAGCACCTACAATGTTGCAAAGTATTGACATTTTGAAATCTAAGCCTTGATAAAAAGTTGTATATGATTTATTTATATAGGAACTCTAAAATTAAGAGTTATTACAATTGCAATTCAAAAAATATCATATAGCCAGGTTTTACCATGGGAAAAATTAATTTGTTTTTAATTTGAAATACCAAACATATACCATGTTTCATATCGGTTGTTAGTTTGCATGACTATAGATAAAAGTAAAAAACCTACAACTAATGATCTGTAATTTGTTGTATTAAAATTCTTAGAAAAATAATAATCTACATTTATATGACTATTTCACAGTATGCCGGGGGCATTATTTTCATTATTTAGGTCATATAACAAACAAAAAATATTACCTTAATTTTGACAAATGCTTCATTACAATCTTGTAAAAGGTACTTGGCCTTCCTCGAATATATCCTTACTACTCCAAGCAACAGATGTCCTGAAGTTCGGAGAGCCATCTTCACTTTTGGTTTCAATATTCCATCCACTGACTTTTCAATATTAGTTTCAAATACATGTGCTTTAGTGAGCTTCTTATCCCAATGAGCTGCCAGCCAAATCTTGGCCAAAGGGCCTTTCTTGGCCAGCACAAAATGTGCGTAAAACATTTTGATGAGTTGATAAACACCAGCTCAGCGGTTACATCAAACTCGCTCTGAAATTAAATAGTAAGGTTACTTTAAAGTGTTTTATTTATTAAATGTTGAAAATTGTGAATGCTAGACATGATTATCAGGAAAAAAAAAACTTAAATGACTGTTTAAAAGCCATAAAAGTAACGACTCCAACCAATTTGGCGCCTAATTCTTTCGTCATGTTTCACATTACACTAATGACATTATCACATATTTGATTAAAACCTTAATATTTATAATCATATAAATAATAAAACATCATCAGAATTATTCTTAAATTACCTAAATAAGCCAGAAAAATCCACAATTTCACCTTTACCACTCAACGTAAACATGACAACAATCAGGCTCTCAAGATGGCGTCGACCATCTGTGTGACCAGGTCTTATTCAACGAAAATACGGTATTTATTTACTGAAACTGATTTTAGCATGCATTGCTTCACAGGGCAAATACCATGCGAATCAAAATTTAAACGAATTTTTATCATCATATTTTTCTTGAGAAAATTCATTAACTTGGGAAACAATAAATGTTTTTATTTTATTATAATGCATTTTGAATGTATCATAGAACATTTCATCGTGGAATGGCAGTGAAATAAAAATTGCAGAACATCACAGCGCTCTAAGCAGTCACAGGCATCAAATGCTAAGCTAGGATATAATCTTAGTCTTAAGGCGAAAACATATTTACGTGTTGTGGAGTGTCGTGATGCGCCAGAAGTACATCGGTTTCATACTTAAACCAAGAACATTATCTTAGGATTCTTTATCTAAGGTTTCATACATTTATTATGGTTATAACCATATTTATAGGTCGTGTCGACAAGACAAGTAAATATGTCTCTAACCATAATAAATATATGAAACCAATGTGCTTTGGCGCGTCGCAACACGATACGTACCATTTTTTCTATGTTAAAATTTGTTTAAATATGTCAAATAAAAAATTAAAATACTAGCTCTTCGTTATATTACGTATCATCATATCAGCCGTACAACGCCCACTGCTGAGCGTAGGCCTCCCCCAAGTATATCCACACCGATCGGTCCTCTGCCACTCGCATCCACCGGCTTTCCGCGACTTTCACTAGATCGTCGGTCCACCTTGTACGGGGCCTGCTCACTGAGCGTCGTCCAGAACGTGGTCACCATTTTAGAACCTTTCCGCCCCAACGGGCATTGGTTCTTCTAGCTACGTGTCCCGCCCACTGCTATTTAAGCAAAGCAATCCTTCAAGTGATATCGGTTACTTTGGTTCTCCTACGGATTCTGATCTGATTTCTGATTCTATCGCGTAGGAAAATATCGAGCATCCATCTATCCATTGCTAACTGTGTGACCTTGAACCTTCTTATGAGACCTGCTGTAAAAGACCACGTCTTGCTTCCGTAGGTCTTTACTGACAACACAAACTGGTCAAAGACTTTTGCTTAGAGCCACTGAGGTAGTTTGGATGCGAAGATTTTCCGTAGCGTCCCGAACGCTGCCCATCCGAGCTAGATACGACGAGAGATCTCTTTCTCAAAGTTGGACTTACCAAACTGGACTGTTTGTCCTAGGTAAACGTAATGGTCGACAACTTCGAGTGTAGTGTTCCCAATTTTAACTGGAGCGGGTACTACATTCGACATAATTTTCGTCTTATCCACGTTCATCTTAAGATCCACTCTCTGGGAAGCACTCTTAAAATCTTCGAGCATCGTGTTAAGATCTTTCAAGGTCTCAGCCATAAGAACTACATCATCGGCAAAACGAAGGTGCGAAAGGTACTCGCCATTAATGTTGATGCCTCGTCCTTTCTAATCCAGAAGCTTGAAAATATTCTCCAATGCAACTGGGAACAATTTCGGAGATATCACAGCTCCCTGTCTCACCCCGCCTAGAGATTGTTGATCGCCCTCCCGGTAGTATAGCAAGTAACCGGAATTGAGGATTATCGAGTTCTCTCCCTCTCTTCGGGCTTCAGATAAACCAATAATATCACAGCATAACATAGGCCGTATACAGAAAGAAAGCCGAAAGCCGATCGGCGCTTATCGGCGCCGATCCTTCCTACATAAAGGAAGCCGATTAAAGCAGATCAAGCAAAATGTCGGACTCATCGGACGATGATTAGGTTTTGTTAGAAAATATTTATTTAAAAATGCGAAAAACAGCTATACATTCTATAAATAGAGAAAGGAAACGTTTCGGAGAATACCATCATTTATTTGTAAAAAAAAATAAATTTGATGAACAAAGATTTTATACATATACAAGAATGATTCAAGAAACATTTTATTACATTTTGGATTTAGTGAAAAACCGTTTGATGAAAAATTGGGGCAATTGGCATAAACAACCAATCCTTCCAGAAGAAAGACTTGTTGTCACCATTCGGTAAGTACGAAACAAATAATTTTAGCGCTTAGTTAATAAAAGATAAAGTTATTAGATTTATAAAAAGATTATAACTTAGATTGATTTAATCTAAGGATAATAATTCAAATACAAATTATTTATTATTCGGACCAGCGCGTGTCGGCGCTTATCACGACCTTACTAATAGCTTTTTCCAACTCTATTAACTTAGCATCGGTCCCCAGTGTGCTCGTGTTGTAGGTTGCCAGGTTGGGTCGTCGTAGGTGGTAACCGGATCTTACCAGGGGATTCTTAGCACCCCTTGCACCGCCGTTACTACAGCTGCAACCGTGGCTAGGACTAACAGGGCTGCCGGGGACTGGGGGCCGATCTTTAATTGTGCTAAACATCTTGGAGGGTTTTGTTATAATCGCCACGCTTGGCAGGTGGGATGGCGATCGTAGTATAGCCAAGATATTGCAACAAGACGCTGCTGCCCGTCTTCTGCTGGCTGTGCTCCCTTAGTCGCCTTTTACGACATCTATGGGACAAGTACTATTCTAGGCCGGCTCACACACGGCACTTATGTGAACTATAATAGAACTTTTTAATACTAGAAAGTTCTTGGATTACTTCAATAAAATATGAAGCGTATGGCGCACTTAAAACGCTTAAAATACAATAAGAAAAACGATCGGGCCTTACAGTAGTCGCGTATGATGTGTAACATTTGAAACCTCACCTTATATTAGTAAAAAAAGAAATAAAACCTACTACAAAAGGAATAAGCCATTTTAACATTATGTACTAAAATCAAATGAAATAGCGCGCGCTCTCGCGACTTCCTGTTACACACTTCCGTCCCATTTCACGAAATCACTCATACAAATTGCAGGAAAGCGAGAGGAAAGCTGTTACACGTCAAAAACACGACTGTCGCTAAAAAACTGGAACCTGAAAAGAAAAAAATAACTACTCTTTTTCAAATAGGATTAGAATAGAAATACCCAGTAACTTTAGGTATACAGATTTTTTTCGTAGGTATGACATCTCTATAGGTTTCAGTACTCAGAGTCGCGGGGGCGGTATTAACGTCCATCAAAGTGTGGATTCAGAAAAAGACAGGACTTCAGTTAGCTTTCTATATATTGAGAATAACAGTGATCTGGCATAATTCTCTAAACTTAAAACTAAATCCCTAGTTTCTCCTTTTCATTCTGTATAATGAATGACAAGGTTACACTGTTGTGAAAATTAAGTTAAGGTTTTGAGAATCATGCCATGATCTGCACCAGTATACCGTATCTAAGAAAAACCTTTACATCTACAGAGTTTGCTATAAATTCCTAAAATATGAAACTACATGAAGATATACTTACAATTTTCAATAATTGTTCAGATTTGAATGCCATTTTGTATGTATGAAACGCGAACAATTTTGAAAATTCACAGCTATAGGTGTCGATTCTGGCATGATTCTCAAAACTGGTTGTACACAATACCTTTCCGTTGTTATAAAAACGGAAACGTCAGCTGCCATTTGAGGTTTCTTGTATTCTCATACCCTGTTATCAACTAGCCTTCATATGAGTCAGACATTGTGTAGTCTTGCTCACGCAGTCTATGCCCAGTCCTTCTTTAATTCTGAGAGGAAATGGAAGAGTTACACATAAATATATTCATTTGACCATAGACGTATCCCTATTATTTGAATTATCCAGGATCCCATCATCATATGACCATTACGGAACATGCATAAGTAAAATAGTTAAATTCAGTAAAAAATATTGGAGCTGGTCACATAGTCAACCTAGAACTTTTGTCTATTTTTTTAATTTCTTTATCCAGTTTGGGAATACAAAGGGTACTGTACCCATACAGCCAATTCTTACGTTTATTATTCTCTTATTTATTCTCTCTTAAGGCCGGAGCCATGTCTTCTTATAGGTATCTTGTCTTCCGTATAATCTTCTTTCTAGATCAAAAGTACTTCTACTTCTTTCTTAGTGTTTTTCTTTTTATTATTTGTAGTCTTCTTTTAAGTTTTAAAGTCTAATAATCGAGGTTCAGATAAAATGGTAGGCAAGTTTTCAGCAAAACCTTTCAGATTTGTCCTACGGCTTTGTCACACGGAGGGAAAGTATATTAAATATTGAAGACCAACCATAGGATACTTTACTAAGAGAAGACATGATTTTATTTTTAATAATAACTATTATATAACTGAATTCACAGAATTTTTGAATCGCCTGCTACAACTCGGAATCCAAATTGTGAAATTTGAAAAAAAAAACACAACATAATGTTAACCATCGAAAGAGTTAATCATAAGGACTGTTTTTATATAATTAACATAGTATTTTTAATGGAACAAAGTGTTAGATATATTGGATGGTCGCTTAGCTTCAACCATGTGTGGAATGAGGTTCAGGTTATTAGATGAGTTCAGCTGAAATAATATTGTCTTCAACTCGTATTGCACTTGTATTTATTAGACACAATAAATGAGGCAATTACATGTCCAAATGATCTTATATTTAAATGGATGTAAAAACAAAGTAGCGAATACAAAACGGACATTACAGAAAGGCAGAGCAAAAAGTAACGAGAGATGTGAACACCAGTGTTGCCAGCAGTTTAGTGTTGCTATACATGGAGGATAATTTTAACCATCAATACAAAGATCAGGAAATAAAATTTTGTTCAGAAAATTTCCTTCTACTTTTCCGTGCTTCCAACAGCTAATGTTATCATTTCAAAGTATTTACTGACTAGTACCTGCTCACTTAATAATACAGGCTTTCCTTACTATATGTACGTGAAAAAATAATAATAAAGCGATACATATACAAACCTAGCACTGTTTCCCTTATATGTATGTTCAATTAATAATTGAGAGAAGTCAAGAGTAAAAGAGTCAAATTTCGTGATTTTTCTTTCATTTATAATGCTATGTCATATTTATATTAAGGAAAAAATGGTTGCCTGTAAAGTCGGTTTTACGGGCGAAGATTTTACGTGACAACGTCTTTTTCTCGGTAGAATATTTATTGATATGAATATAATTAAATTGCACAATAGGAACAAGGAATTGAATGAAAATAAGAATTGCACAAATTTTAACTATAGAAATATATTTTGTTTACTAAAACATTGTACATGTAAACTTAAACTTAACACGAGAGACTCATCGTAACGTTACCGAGCGTTACACTTTTTCATAAGTGACTCCCAGCCGCAACCTAATTTAAGACGTTGTCACGTCAAAAAGTAATCCTCATGATTTACCCTTCTAACTGCTATCATAAAATACATGCGTTTTTTTTTTTTTTTTTCCCGATTTCGGCAGGCGATTTTCTAAAAACTGTGAATGTAGTTCATGTTTTTTTTAAAAATAAAATTGTCTTTTTTTTTCTTTTGAAGTTATACTTCTTTAGGCGCGTTATGAAAAAATTATCAGAGTGAAATTTTAAGATGCGCGCTCATCATTGTAATACAAAAAATTAACTTTTGTGTTTACCGCACATTAAGGAAATCTACCAACAAAATAGAAATAGAATCTCTATTTAGTGGGTGCTAACGACTGCATTGTGAAGGCCTATCAAAAGTATTTATTATTCTGGAATAACGGAACCAAAGCGCGATTCAGGAGACTACAGCGCCATCTCTTGACCATTGGTGTAGTAGAACCAAAAACCACATCTTTATTTATCAAAAGTATTTATTATTCTGGAACAACGGAACCAAAGCGCGATTCAGGAGACTACAGCGCCATCTCTTGACCATTGGTGTAGTAGAACCAAAAACCACATCCTTATTTTTTGTAATAAAGTAACAGTTATAGGTATTCATATTTATAATATTTATCCACATGTTTCTAGTTTGTATATTCGGAATACGTGTTTGAGTTTCATACAAGTGCAAATCACATATGTTCTAATAAATTATATTCAGTAGCGATTTTAATTGAATATTTTGATTATTTATTTATTTTTTCAAATTAAAACTGAACTTTATTGACTGTGTCCTTTTCCAGACTTTTTATTAATTTATTGTAATTAATTATTTGCATGCAATTAAAAACTAATTTTAAACGATGCCAAAGAAGGATAACTTCTCACGCGCCTACATAAGTACACGCACCCATTTTTTTTTATGTTATAGGGGGCATACGAGCAGACGGCTCACCTGATGGTAAGTGATCACCGTCGCCCATGGACACTTGCAACACCAGGAGTATCACAAATGCGATGCCGGCCTTTAAGGAAGGAGTACGCTCTTTTTTGAAGGTTCTTGAGTCGTATTGGTTCGGAAACACTGCTGGCGACAACATATTCCACAGTTTTGTCGTACGTGGTAAATAATTTCGACAAAAACGCACGGTTGTGGATAGCCACGCATCAAGATGATGGGGATGAAATTTTTGTTGCGATGTACGATGGCGAAATGCAGCAGCTGGAATTAATCCGAACAATTCCTCAGAACACTCCCCGTGATAAATGCGATAGAAGATGCAGAGCGAAGCTACATCCCTACGCAAAGCCAACGGATCAAGCTGATCGGAAAGGTCCTGGTCGTCGACGATTCGAGCCGCTCGGCGCTGGATGCGATCCAAAGGGAGAAGCTGGTACTGGGGTGCTCCCGCCCAAAGATGAGAGCAGTACTCCATGTGAGGCCGAACCTGTGCCTTACAAAGCTGCAGTCGGTGGGCCGGTGTGAAGTGTATTCTCGATCTATTGAGCACACCAAGCTTCTTAAAGGCCAATTTGGCCTTGCCCTCTAAATGATCCCGAAACTGGACGTCGCTCGATATGTCAACGCCAAGAATTCCAGAGGAGATACGACAAATGGTATTTTTTTGCGGTGAACGCGCATACTTGTGTCTTCGTAGGGTTAAATTGGACTAGATTAAGTCGGCCCCAATTCGTTACTTGGTTTAACAAAGTTTCGACTTCAGACACAAGTTTGTTCCGGGACTCGATGACGTTTTCCCGTGAAATGTTGGCGCGGCCGGTATATAGGGCATCACCCGTGCTGTCGTCTGCATAGCAATGAATGCCATCAATTTGAAGCATATCATTGATATGAAGAAGAAATAGCGTAGGCGATAGCACACAGCCTTGTGGAACACCAGCGTTTACGGATTTGGGTCCGAGCATGCACCGTCGACTGCGACCTTGATGCTCCTGTCCGCAAGAAAGCTAGTGATCCAAACGCACAGCTTTTCAGGAAGCCCATAAGAAGGAAGCTTCGAAAGAAGCGCTTTGTGCCAAACCCGATCGAAGGCCTTCGTGATATCCAGACCGACCGCCAATGCTTCCTCCTTGGTCTCGATCGCCTTTGCCCAACGATGAGTCAGGTATACTAGTAGATCACCAGCCGAGCGACTCTGACGGAAACCGTACTTCTTTCAGTAAAATATCCTATCTTTAATATACTTTCCCTCTGTGTGACCAACCCGTGGGACGCCCTGTATAAATAGCAATTACTTATCGCCAAGTGAAATGCCGGCATAAAGTTAATCTCGTATGTACTGATTCCTACGTCTATGGTTCCGTCCGTTTTTTATTAGGAGTTGGTAGGTAGCAAATGCTGTCAATGTCATTTTTTCTGTCAAACTAGTTTTACGATATCATTTTTCTCACAATTCTTTTCTGGTTCAACTGAGCAGTCTGAGAGACGTACGTTCAATGAAATCCTTAATTAACTTTTTGATCTTTAGAGTTTCTCAAGTGTTTGTGTGATTTTCCATCAGGAAATAATGCGCAGTGTTCATAATGTCATGTATTTGTAATATATTTTCACATTTCAGTGTCTTAAAATTTAACACGATGTGTCGGTTTAATCACTCTTGTGGCCAGACCGATGATGTGACTTCTGATCAATTTGTATTGATTTTGTTGCTAGGTCTGCCACAGGCTTCTAAAGATGGGCGCGTACAGATATATACAAGAGTTGTATCGTAAAAAGCTGAGCGATGTTATGCGTTTCCTTTTACGTGTCAGAGTATGGCAGTATCGCCAATTGACTCGTATGCACCGTGCTCCTAGGCCGACCAGGCCCGACAAGGCAAGGAGATTGGGATACCGTGCCAAGCAAGGTTAGTTGAGTAATTTAAAACGTCTGATGTTGATAGTGCAAGCTATGTCTACCATTTTGCACGTGTGTTTACAACTCTACGCATCACAGGTTATGTGATCTTCAGAATCCGCGTGCGTCGTGGTGGCCGCAAGCGCCCGGTGGCAAAGGGTGCCACATATGGCAAACCCAAGAGCCATGGTGTGAACCAGCTGAAACCTACACGTAACCTACAATCCATTGCTGAGGTAAGAATGAGTCTGTAATCGAGGCTTGTTGCTGTGACCATTAAACTTTTCGCCGATTCTGTTACTTCTAACAGACTCGCATTAGCTGCTGAATTTAAATCTATCTGGCTTGATGTTACATGGATTATCTTGTGTGTAGGGTTACCATTTAAGAATTTCAAAACTACAAAAATCCTTACATTACGAAAAAAGTCCAGACTTAATAGTCATTAAATAGAACCATTACTTACTTAGTTACAATGGAATGGTATTTAAATCAATACGCACTTTTATTATTCATATACAATGTAATTTAAAAAATCAGGATAATTTATGATCCAGACAAAGTCTCAAAAGTCCAGGCTAAATCAGACGGATGGTAACCCTACTTGTATGGTACATTGCATAGGTTACTTCTTGTGAATCGATACATAGAATAGAAGTGTTAATGTAATTATTCTCTTCATAGGAACGTGTTGGTCGCCGTTGTGGTGGTCTTCGTGTGCTGAACTCGTACTGGGTAGCGCAGGATTCTTCATACAAATACTTTGAAGTGATCTTGATTGATCCTTCTCACAAGGTAAATTTAGTATTTTATACTATGTTTAATATAATTTGACCTAAAATGTATTTTATATGATGAACTTCTTTGTCATGCACCAATCTGAAAGGTTTTGCTGAAAACTCACCTACCATTTTATCTGAAGCTTGAATATGAGACTTAAATACTTTGTTGTCTTAGTACTTGTATCTAATAAGTAATTTTTTAGGCTATTCGGCGTGACCCCAAGATCAACTGGATAGTGAATGCTGTGCACAAACACCGTGAGATGCGTGGTCTTACATCAGCTGGCCGCAGCTCCCGTGGACTCGGAAAGGGTCACCGCTTCTCCCAGACCAAGGGAGGATCACGCCGAGCTGCCTGGATTCGTCGCAACACACTGCAATTGCACCGCAAGCGATGAACACACAACTGACTGTGCTATTGACTTTCTATCTGTTTTTATTCTATTTATATTCCTAGATGGAAAGCCAGTAGTAAATAAATTTAAATTTAACTCTAAACAAAGCATTCTTATTCCTAACACATAAAAGGAATTGAAATCATGTAAGTTGGTTAAATTTTTTATATAATGTATTATTTATGCTCTGTGTAATTTATTGAATTATATTTTTTTTACTACAGGAAATGCCTTTATACAGCAGCTACATTTTTCACAAAAAGGTAATTATTTCATGCACTTCTAAACCCGTAAACTTAAATTGGAACTCAATGATGATACAATGCTTTATGATATGCGCAACCCTGATTACGACGCATTTAACTTCCTTGGATGGCTGATTAAATCCAATTTCCCCAACAGAGCTCATGTGTTTGTACACATTTCTTATACTGATTTCTTTTTGGTTACAGAATGCTGCTAACTAAGGGATGGTGTGGTGTAGCTTTCAATATACATATGCAGGTAAATTATTACTATTGTTGTTTTTGAATATCCAAGTTTGTTAGGATTGCTTGTTAATCATTAAATATTAATAAGAACACAACAATTTGGAGATAGCAAATCTAAATCTTACCTAGGTGAGGTTGTTGTATGCTTCTCATCAATAATCTCAATCCGGTACGATACATTTATATGCTGCTTAATATCTTTTACTTTAAAACTTATGAATTCACTTGCAGCTTGATGAATAAAACTTGTTTTTTATTGTTTTTTCCAGGTAACTGTTCCTGCTCTAAGGAGTGCATCCTTAATACCATAAGCTAGTGATGTAACGAATGTCATTTTTTGAACATTTGCGAATATCTGGTACCGACATTTTGGCGCCAATTGTCTATGGCATGGTGGCAGTCTCGTTCGAATTGCCGAGTTGATATGAACTCATCGGGCTGAAGTGTCATTCCACTCGCGCCGATCTTTTCGTAAACAAGTGAATTTTGAGGTTATAGTTTGAATAGTGATTTATTAACACGAGTTAATCAAATTCTACTGAAATGTGGACTTATTTCACACTGCGATGCTGAACGAGCTTAATGAAAGCTGTGTAATAATGAATATTCAAGGAAAGGAAGTTCTTCAAATTGTTTTTTTTTCTAATATTCATATTCGCAAAACATTACGAACATTACAAACGAATATTCAAAAATATGCGGGTGCGAATATTCGTTACATCACTACCATTTATGCATGAAAATTCATTTCCTTTTTATTATTCGCTGCCATATAGTTTTTATTATTAAATTGATGATATATCTTTTGGATTTTTATTTATACTTTACAAATTAGTTAAATAGGGTCGTCAGTTCACACTAGCTAAGGACTCTCGCCTTAATATTTTAATTAACAAATAGACTTTCAACCTTGGGAATTGATATAACAGTCAATGCTGTTTTATAATAGCATCTTAGTGTCGATTCTGGCATGATTCTCTAAACTCAATTGTTCTCCTTTTCATTCTGTATAGAAAACAAGTACTTACTACGAACCAGTGTACAAACAACGATACAGTATAGACAAAGATACACTTGTCATATTTCATTCAGGGTCGACACCATTATTCAATTAATGCTATTAGGTACCAACTTTATAATTTACTTAATGAAAAAAAAAGCAACTTCTATTTACCAGTGTCGTGATCCTATTTTTAAGAGACATCATTTTCTTTGACACCTGCTGAATGATCGAAAAAGGACCTACCTAAGCCCTAACACTGGCAGCCGCGTAATCGTATCGTCGCTCGTAACATTATGAAAGAGCTACTTTGTTCTTACGTCCGGTAGGAGCGCTCCTTAGTTTATGCTACGCCATGTCGTGTAAAGCGGGCTACTGACATCCCTGCCGCAGGGGCAATTTAGGGTGTAAGAGTGGGGATGACTTAATTGCCTCGTGATGTTTGTAGGCAAAATGGCAATTTCTAATGGTAGCCATACACACTACGAGAAATCGTTACGATCAGACTGTACAGTTTGAACGGTACCGATAAATCGTAGCGTGTATGTTATAAAACTGCACAGTTTCCTATACGTACGCCACGCACGATAAACTGTTCCGTTCGAACTGTACAGTCTGATCGTAACGATTTCTCGTAGTGTGTATGGCTACCATTAGTTGGCCCTGTAGCAAGGCGGCAAGAGCACGAGACCACCCTTGGTTCCTAGATTGTCCATGCCGCCCTGCACGTTGCCGCGTGTGTAGCGTGATTGGGGCAATTTACAAAACGTAGACAAAAGATAAACCTGGACTAAAACTGATGCTGTCACTTTTATTTATTAAAAATTTAAAAAATCAAAAAACCCGACTGTTTAATTATACTTCAAATAAAAACTGAAGAGAAAAAAACAAGTCCAGTAGTCTATAATTCTGTTAATAAGAAACAAAGCTACTTTAACCTTGTTATTTGTTATTGTCATATATGAGCTATATTACTGTTTTACTGTTAAGTTTCATTAAAATCCATTCAGTATTTTTTAGGTGAAACAGTAACAAAGATCCATACAAACGTAAGATTGAAATTAAAAGCGCAAGTGGTTAATATACAACTTTAAAGCGTTGTAGATCCTAAACAATCATATAAAATTTAAAATGGTGTTAGGAACCTAAACATGATTTTCGATTATCTAGCCAGTGAACATATTTTGTCAACTTTTTTTACTTCGTCACAATATGGCGCCTAATTTTGCCCATATTGAATTTTGATTACTATCATATCTTTAGTAGCACTTCCATGATTGAGACGAATCGATTGATGTATGATTCATCAAAATCGGTCCAGGCGTTTGGTCGCTAGTGTGCCACAAGGGAACAAACATACATATTATATAGACTGTTAAACACTATACCCTATCTGCGCGTCGCGCTCTTGCATTGCGCAGTCGGGTAAAAAGAAGCCATTTTGGTAGAGAATTAATTAGGTAATTAAATAAATAACTAACTTTAGTCCGCGATTTGGGATAAGAGGGAATGTACATTTAATAGTATCACAGTCGCCGTACAATAGACGCACACGAAACTAGGCAGGTGGTATCTCCTGTTACCAATATTATACCTGGAAGGAGCCAGAGGTGTTTTGAAAAAAATGTGATTTAAAATAGCACTAACGTTTCCATCTAAAAACAGCGATCTGACATAGTCGCATATCAACATCTCTCTACAGCCCGCGAGCCCAACTTATCTACGCCACAACATCGAGCACGCAGTTAGGTACGTTGTTTTAGGTTCCACACAGCAAAATAAAAAGTGCAACTTTTTTTTAATAGTAATAGTACGAATACCAGGTTTCCTGTTTCTTGCCTGTAGCAAATTCATCTTCATTTTCCCACTGAAGGTATGGCCGAGCCCAAAATCATGACGTGTCTCGTTGCTTCGACTCTGCGACAAAGGGAGTTCAGTCTAAATCGACTTGCAAAACGAATTTTCATAATGTTGTGGAGTTTCTTTCATCAATTGTTAAAGACTAAGTAAGTACCTTCCACCTAATAAGGTGGTAGAAAAAATACTATTAAGAGTTGTTTTATAATCAACAAGGCAAAGAAACATGTAAATTTGTTTTTTTTATATTCTGGATTTTCTATAATCTTAAAAAGTAAATAACAATGACGTTAATTAATCAGCATACAAAACTAGAAGTTACAATAAATACATTAAAATTTTAATTTAAGAAAGCTTTTACTTATATTTAAACAAAATGAGAAATAGGTAAATTAAGCAGTAAATTGTAGATGTCGAGATAAATGTCTGAAACATAATATGTGCTCCGTTCTGTTCTACATTCACTCAAATTTGAAGTAGGTATACTCATGCTACTTAATATCATGATATTTCTGTAACTATATCAATCAATCCATGGTATCATGATTTGATAATATTTGAGTGTGATTCGCACTAAATGGCGGCTGTGAAGTTAGCAGCGAGCGTAAGAATGCGCAGATTTCAGTTCAGTGATCTCCCGCGCACGCCTACAGCGTGACCAAGATTTTGTGGCGCGTGGCCGAAATCGGAACTATTTTATTTTTAGAGGATTATAATTTACGAGATATCGTAAACTATAACGATCCCTTTAAAGAGGAGATTTTACATACTTTGTAATCCTCAATTCACCAGCAGCGCCCTCTTGTCAATGTCATAAAAGTGCCACAAGATCATGGTCGCACTGTACATATCGATTACTGCGTAGTGACTTGCCCACTTCACGACCACTATAAAGTTTGAATCTTTTGTTAGCACTTTACATGAAATACGATTAAGTTCCAGCGTCACTTAACTATAGCAGATTTTGGTAGTTTACATGTTTTCAAAGTTTTTTAGATACAGGAAAACTACAAAGGTACTAAAAATTTTAATAGTGACTGTATTTCGGAATGGAGTCAAATTAAAAATCGCTCTTAAATCTAATTAGATACAAAAACAGTTTATGTATAAAACTATTTTAGACTATTTACAACGTTTTTTAAGGGACCGCGCAATTCAAATCAAACTGTATTTGAATGTAAATATGGAAATAAATTTTCTGACTTTTATTGGACGGTCGTCTCTGCAGAGAGCAAATACTGTAAACATTTGTGCTAAATATTTATACATATTTGGTCACGTGAAGTCGTGTATCAGTTTTGAATTATATTTTGGTAGATAAGAGTGGGACACCTGGAACATTATACGCTCTCAGGTGGGACATGATGTCAGGAGAACGAAGACGATTCCCGACCATCTGGCAACCCTAACTGTCGCAGTGTTTTGCCTCTGGTCAGTACACAAAACACCGCATAAAGTATAACAGTCCCTAATTTTTCGTTTATTAATAACAGGTGTGTCATTCATTCTCAACAGACTAAATTTGGAAAGTAGGGTAAATGGTGGACAGTGTAACAGGGAATTCATAGGGTATAATACAGAAAAAAGCCTGCCATTGGACGTCTTATGACAGCTGCTTAAGAACGAACGCGAGCTGAGATACATTTGAGAAATAGGTATTTGAAAAAGCTATTGCTGTCGCTGAAAATAGCGAATAAAAATGGCAGAATTCGAGGTTTGGCTCTCGACGTTTTCCTCGAAAATTAGATATATGTAAAAGAAATTTTACCCATAGAATAATAAGTAGTTATACTATGCCTCTATGTTTTGCTTAATTTGAAAATGCTTATTGAAACTCCATACTAGATGTCTTTAGTTGGGATAAAAATTTGTTTATTTTTGGCATTTTTGGGGGCTTCTTGTTCCTTTGAAACACAAGTTATTGAATAAAGGAACACATAGGAGCATAGAATGAATTAATTTTACTTTATGTATGAAAATCATTACTATAGTGATAAAAATCAAGGAGGAATCAGTCGAGAATGTTTGTATGGAAAATATATTGCCCGCCTCCTTTAGCTATCTTAAGATAGCGGCATGTGAAACTAATAAAAACACGTTAAGACAGACCATAGATAAATAAAATAAGGGCAGAGATATTCCTTAGGCTATACTGTGCCCAGTTGCGTCTTTGACCTATTGGAGGCCCTGGGCATATTAGGATAATGGGGTCCTTTATGACTTCCGTTTGGTGATTTAACAGGATTAGGGACTTTGTATTTGATCTGAGGGGGCCCCCCCTATCGACCGCGGGGCCCTGGGCACTTGCCCAAAGTGCCCACTGGGAAAGACGGGTCTGACTGTGCCCCTTGGTACACTGTCCACCAGTCGATCCTACATTTTTATGAAATTGCATCTATAATATCGAACTGTTCTTAGTAAACTATCAAGTTATTCTGTAATTCTTTACAAATAATGCACCATGTAGATAATGTTATAATTTATGTATGAAGGTGTTTGATGAAGTATTAATAACAAGTAGTTCAATAAATAGTCAAAATTTCGATTACCACACATGTAGACATTTTTTTAAATCTTAATATAAAATAACGAAAATCACAGTTGTAAGCAACCTAAACAAATATCAATAAATATAAGTTAGCAATTGATTACGAAATAAATTGCCCAAGTTATGAAAAATATTTAACCCGCTGTACTCAAGGTTAAATGTAAATCTCTTTTTAATTTTATTCTGTTACTAAAAGTTCATTAATTCTCGGTTCTAAAAATTTTATTTATTTATTTATTTGAACCAATTTACATTTTTATAGTAACATTGATAATCTTTAATCATTTTTGTAAATTAAAATTAGTATTATTTTTAACTAAAAGATATTGATGTTACTGTGTCCCAATTAATTACAAAAAGTAATAAAAGTAAGCTTTGGTCAACTTGTTGTGGTAACGATAAAACTTAAATTAATTTTTTTAAGTTAAAATATTTAGTTACTTTTTTTAATATATCTGCAGTTACACGTAAGCTTCACAGATATTAAGAGTGTTTCTACATTTTAGTTTATTTAGGATACCGCAACATCTAAAAACCGAGTTGATTATGTCACTTAAATAATTCATATGCCAAATTTATCTAACGAGGTTCGACTCCTAAATGGATTTAATACTCTAAAATTTTTATTTTACACAATAGTTTAGAATTTTTCAATCATAATTTAGGCTTAGTTGTGGTATTTCTTATGCTTTGTAAATAAGTACATAATAGGTATTGCCTTGTTTAGATAATGTGAAAAATAGCCCTGTAAAATACCTAAACATATACGCACTTAACAATAGAAAAAAATATCTTGTAACTTTTAGGTAAGCAATCATAGATAACTCATGCGGTATTTTAACACATATTGTCTGGAATCACATGACAAGGATCCAGGGTCTTAAAAAAATCAAATGCAAGATATTCAAAGTCGAAGTTGTCTTCCTTTAACAAGCAAGTTAATTTATTTTCGGAACCTGTTATGTAACCGTTGAGGAGGTGGCGAACAAAACGACATAATTACGCATTATGGTCAAAATACTTTTTTACAAGCCGGAGGTTTCGGGCCTGCTGCATTTGAATTTAAACTAATTTTTAATCAAAACCGCCTTAAATAGTGTTAAAATTACTAAATTGAAGACCACGCCAAAAACTGTAGGTATGTCATACAGTTATAAAATCCTAAACATTCAGTTAAATCAATTCAGCCGATTTCCAACTGATGATTTTTTATTTGACTTCCATTGCACTGTTTCAAGATCTTTACGCAATGAAAGGTGACTTCATGAAGCATCTCTGAAGTTCTTTATCAACTTGACGACTCTGTAAATAATAAAACAGGGAGAAAAAAACAGCCCTTGCTGAGATTCTTGCCATTTCTTCTCAGTACAAGGTCTCTCGCCGTAGATTTACGAACCGATGGCGTAGCTTCTAGACATTCATGAGTACTTGTAACAGCCTAAACTGAATAAATGATTTTGATTATAATTGATTATTACACAACAGCATATTTTTATAAATGAATACAAGAGAAAACTAACTTGGCTTCCTGAACTCATTCCGTTAATATCTGTTTTAAGCTCAAGTGTACGAGCTTGTCTAACTCACTAAATACATTTATCAAACAAACGAAGCTTTTACAATATAACCAATTTTGACTCGCGTTACCTTGCTTAGATCATAAATACAGTTTGAAGTGTTCAATTTATTGATAAACCAAAATAGCACACACCAAGTTCTTCATAGATCTGCGACTGAGAATAATGTGCCTCGTACTTCAGTGTTAAGGTGTATTTTCAGTTGGCAGGTACTGGCTGCGCCGGTCGCCGGTCGAAGTGGAATGTGTCTGAGAGGTAGAGGCCGAATATCGCGACGCTGTAGAACACTGTGAGCCCGAATAGGGCAACACTCGCGCTAGCGGTGAACATGTTTGAATATTCACACCTGAAATTATTATTGAAAACGTTGAATTATATTTTTAATAGCGTCGGCCTGCGACTATGTCCGCGTTAAATTTTGAGAATCCCTCAGGATACTAAATTTCCAGGTAATAAACTATAGGTATGTGTGCCATATTTCATCCAAAAACTCAACGCGTGATTGAGTGAGATATTTAAGTCTAAGTGGGACAAGTATCTGTTTATAGCGGTTGAGAAGCTTGATGGATACGTAGATATATTGTCCCAACGAATAAGACAGTAACTAACGCCTTGCAACAGCGTAAAATTACGGCTTCTGCGGTTAGACTGGCCCAAAAAGTATTATTTGTATCAATGTAAATCTGCCATTATAGAAGTCGGTTTGTTACCAATCTACCTGAGCCGAGTTGATTTTATCATTTCATTCATTCATGTTAAAATGATGGTACTGAATTTATTTCTTATGTATTCAGGCATACCAATCTTAGAAAAAAAAAAGAGTTTTGAAGTGGCACAATATTATCAATCTTGCTATCACGTAGCCTGAAAAGGACCCGGAACTGTCAGAAGTAATGATATGAGTTAATAAATCGCGTTCAAAAAGCATTTTATTATATACTAGCACCAGCTTTTCCTTTATTGATTGGAGAAATTATTACTCCGGTCTAGAGACCCCTTTTTACGTGTGACATAATTTTTCCATCTGCCTTTAGCGCAAGCGATTTTGCGCAAAAAACAAGCCCGTCATTAACTCGTTTCCTTCATTAACAGTATAGTAAATATTTAATATAGATAAAAATCAAGTATTTAAATACTTATATCATAAATGTGAAAATTTGTATGTTTGTAAAAAACTACAGAGCGGATTTGGATAAAATTGAAACGGTCATAAATTATATTATGTTATGACCTGGATTCCGGTGAGATTCTCAAAAAGCCAAAGTTAACGCGTTTGAAGTCTCGGGCGGCAGCTAGTAAAAATATAAACCACAATAGTAAATATGGACATATAGGTATTTCTTTTCAATCTGCTAAATAAACTACCTACGCATATTTGCAAAAAACTGACACTACATATAGCAGGAAAAGCAGTAGGTACCCTAATTAAAGACACAGATTTGGAAGTAAATTGTGTATACCTAAAACATTTAACTTCATCAATACCAATACGGATGTGACGCCTGCAAACTGCCAATGTTGCCATTACTAAAAAAATTAAATACAACTAATGAAAATCATAAAAAAGGTAAATCAATGAGTAAATAATTCAAATTAATTAAAATACCATTTTGATAAATAAGCGTTCCCTTGTAATTGCTCCACAAACCAAAAAAAATATTACTATACTAATAAAGCAACAAAGACAATCAACGGCACATTCAGCATTGATTTTTGATAGAATAGCAATATTTGAAAGTACACCTAATAAAAAGCTATGTTGTTAGATAGCTACATTTATTGGGAGTACTTTCGCGCTAATTTTTGCCCGATAATTCGCTTAACAACGTTGAAAACAGACAAGTTTTCTTCTATATAGAATGCGTAATTGTATTAAGGACCTATAACGAGAAAAATGTATGATTACATAAATATAAGATCTTTGAAATCAATTTTAAAATCGTCAATAGAACAGCAACTAGAAATTAAGAAAATGGAGAAATCCTAAATCTATGGTCAAAACTACAATAGGGAATATGCATGTAATTTATTTATACATTTATTTGGAAGTTTATATTCCCATTATACAGTACTAAAAGAATCAGTCGACAAAATTGTAGTCTAAAAGCATTATACAAATAGCCACCTAGCAGGGGCATTTTAAACGCTTCCCATTTTGGCATACTTGGGCGTGACGTCACAATTTATCAACCTACAATTGATGGAAGTTGGAACCTACGTCAATTAAATTGATATTTTGTTTCACTTTAGTAAAAATTTGAATGTCGGAGTGAAAAGTTGTACTAGGTATCTTTTCTTCTAAAATAATTCTTATCTTGGCGAAATTATAACAATATTAAACTGTGAAGGTATACTGTAACTACAACTAACTCTAAATTCCTCATAACTCTTTTTAATATAACAATAATAATTCATAAAACGGTGTGGTAAAAAAAAAGAAAAATCAGGAAGCGGCTCCTATCTTCATATTCCCTTTTCCAAAACTAATATATGATGTGCACGTCTTTTCAGAACTCCATTGACAATTCGACGCTGATATCTCTCAGTATGGGACACTGGCAGATGGGACCCAGAAGGAAAGCACATTAGCAAAAAAAAATCATTGACATTGGCATATCCTGTGAACATCATGTTTGTTTATTGTTGCTATACAATTTTAGCTACCGCTCTCTTCCCGTTCAAATATGTGAATTTCCCACAAATTTTCGCACTTTTATATTATTTCTTTTTTGCTCGAAAATATTTTTTATTAACAAATATTGATAAAGGAGGAATAACTTAAAAGTAATAGAAATTATATATAAAAATATGAGGCTTAATTTAATTACATGCATGTTCTCTATTTAGTAACGTCAACATTAAGTCACAGGAAGGAAGTAAAATCTGTCATTTCATTTATGATTGTTCTGAAAATAAGAACTTTGTTTCCACGGATACGTAGATTTAAGCAAATTTCTACCTTAATGTTTTGCATTTGTTTGCATCAAATTAGCTGATACAATGATGATAGTACGGTGGCGGTCAGAAAATGTTTACCAGTTTTGAAATTAGATTCTATGTCATACTTTTTTCACTAAAGTCTAAAATTCCATATTCCATAAAGTAACTTATTTATTACCTTTCAAAAGTTATTATGAAATATACGTCATATTTCATAATAACCTTTGAAAGGTAATAATCTAGTGATGACATAGAATCTAATTTCAAAACTGGTAAACATTTTCTGTTATGTTATACAGATATATTTTGTATGGCCTACAGAAATTTGTCCTGGTCTGGGCGTATGTGCAATGTGCATGTGGGATTTTTTGTAATTACACCCACGATACAGAAGAAAATCCTAGTGTGAGGCGAAGTGTTTAAAAAATATATATATCAAACCTTGATAGTAGTAGGTCCATCTCCTAGCTAGAGCGATTGTTTGTCATATCATTACAAAAAAGATAATCTATGGTCAATCAAATTATCATGAAATAGACATTTAGAACTTGTGACCTAAATGTGTGCATGCAATTATGATCCTTAAGGTGGTAAACATTTTTTGACCGCGACCGTACAATCAACTACACAACCCTTAGCACGAATCATTATCGAATTCGAATAGTTTGCGAGTGCGAAATGTCAATGTCACATTTTGTATGAGAACTTGAACAGCAGCGCCACAAAGTACGTGAAAAAAAAAATCAGTACACATTTGACAATGACATTTCGGACTCGTAAACGTTACGAATTCGATATTGGGTCGTGCTAAGGGTGCAGGTTGCCACAACATTCTCAGTCAAAGTGATTCTTATATCAAGCAAGATAAAGTTAAAAGGTTAATTTTAGATATTTGTCGCTAATAGACATTTTTCCCACCGCCGCGCTGACGATGAACGGGAAGCGAGTAGAGCTAGAAACTAGAAACGAGTGAGTGTATAGTTCCGATAGTTTTATCGCTGGGTTAAAGCGAGTGTGTGAGTACGAAGGGCGATTACTAGCCCCACTCGCTGGCGGATGCAGTTTTAAGTAAAAATGCACGCGCGTGCGTTTGCCAAGCGAACATCGCCGACCGAGTATTATCTTTAATAGCTCTTGTAATTTTTGGACAATCTAGTGAAACGAGTTCTCGCCGGCAGGTTGAACAGTCAGAGATCACCTATCAATATATGCATAAATATAAATAAAATAAAAATTCTCACACTCACACCATTTAGCCTAGCCCCAAAGGAAGCACTGTAAGGCTACTAGTGTTATGATGCTGGTAACGGATAGAATACATATTATATAGATATGATAGATAATTATATGAGTATATTTTTTTATCCAAAATATATAAATATCCATGACTAAGGTACCAATGCTCGTACCTATTCATCATACTAACGTTTGGCCCCACCGGTATTCAAACCCGGGACCTCTGAGTGGCGACACCATGAATCCCAGCGTCTATACCACTCGGCCACGGAGATCGTCATATCTTTTGTTTACACGGAATGTATGTAATATAGTACGTTTCTTGAGCGAGAAAATAGCCGATAGTTAGTAGCTTTCTTGCCGGCGGTGGGACGACTGCCATAACTTGACACAATAGGTAACGATGTTACCAGAACATGTAAAATAAAACGCCTTATTATATTGATTTGTCTGAGAATGAATTAAATGACCGAAATGAGAATGCAATCAAATTAATGTAATGAATGCCACATTGAAGAATTAATAAATAAAACACACTTACGTAAGATATTTCATACAAGTGTCGCCATTTTAGGGTCCTAGTTTGGCTTTGTGTATTAAGACTCTTTACAATATAAGTATCATCAACATTAGCCTATTCGTTTTCCCACTGCTGGGGCACAGGCCTTACCTATGGATGGAATAGGGAGAATGGGCGATGACCCACCGCTGATTGGTGGGTGCTAACGACCGCAGATGCGCCAGAGCCAGGACCAACGGCTTAACGTGCCTTCCGAAGCACGGAGGAGCTCGAGATAGTAAATTTTTGGTCACCCATCCAATGGACTGACCACTGAGAAAGTTGCTTAACTTCAACGATTGCAACCGAACGCGCCAGGCTCTTGCACCATCGAGCTACATAAGTATAGATACCTGAAAAACCAGACGACGGTGAGAGCGACGGAAACCAGCGTCATGAGGATGTTCTCTAAATCCCAGGGCCTCTCCTGCTGCGGGCCTTCGGAGACCAGCTCCGGGTTCGTTGGGCTATCTTCTGGTCTGTGCGCCTGTTTTAGACCCACAAAACATGTACACAAGTTATTAAGATAAGATAAGATAATAACACTTTATTGCACAACAGTAATATAAAGAACACAAATAAAATGCAAAACAATTACAGTTGCACAAAGGGCGGTCTTATCGCTAATCAGTGATTTCTTCCAGACAACCCAATGAGCTAGAAAAAAAAATGGAAAGCACTATAATAATAATGAGGGAGGTTGTGCAGAATACAAGACAAAAGTTTTGTAAGTAGTAAGTTTAAAATAAATTAAAATAAACGGAAACTAAACATACAGGCATACACAAACATTCATACATTTCACAATATAATGCAACAGCCGGTATTACTAACAGCAATATTTTTAATGAAAATGACGCTCATCTGGCAAGAAGTGCTCCTTAACTAGGGATTTGAAACAGGCTAGAGTTTGGGCACGCCTAATCTTTATTATAATATCTGTCCACTACGCGGTTGTTTAAATCTGGGTCACCAGCTTTTGTTTTGCCCTACACAATCAACAAAAACATATTATCAACATTCAAGAAAATAGTCTACACAAAACCTTGTTTCACTACACATATTTGTTTCCATCAACAAAGTTTTTGCTTTCCGAACCCGATGGAAAACACGTACACAAATCTCCCAAACTACGCTCCGAGTACAATATTTTAAACTGACGTTTCAATTTTGACATACAATGTACGGAACTTCGGCCAAATTTGACATTTATTGCACATTGACATTGACCTCGCGACAAGTAAATTCTCCTATGACGGAAATCGAAAAAAACGACGTATAATACGGAATACGGAATAGTGTCAAAACATTGTTTGACGGAACTTGAAACGACGTAAATCGAAAGGACGTAAGTCGAGGACTGCCTGTATTTTAATTATTATTGGTTTATATTTCCGTTCTTTTTGTTTCATTATCGACAGTGAATCAAACAACGAAATAAGAGTACCACTACCGCGATATTTTTTGTGCATAAGCGAATGATGAAAATCCTAGCGCGACCGCCGAGCGTAGGTATGCAAAGTGAAGTACATACAGAAGGTATTCTGTACTTCCTATTTTGTGATATGTATTTTTACACGTAGATATTTATACTAATCGGTAAGCTGAAGAGTTCGTTTAGTCAGTTGGATCTCAAGAACTACGGGTGTGATTTGAAAAATTCTTTTTTAGTTGGATAGTGCATGTATCAAGGAAAGCTATATAGACTATATAACATAACGCTGTGGCGGATGTATTTTGTATGAGTCGCATGCGACATATATGAGCCGCATGCGACATATATGAGCCGCATCCGACATGAATGAAATGAAATTACACTTTATTCAAATTGACTTTTAAAAAGCTCTTTTGAATCATCCAATATTTTTCCCTACCACGACACTAACGACAGTTCCGATGAGAGTGACGCCTGCCCCACCCTCCATCGCTCGCTATATTCACCTGAACGCTCGTCCGCTTGGGATGCACGAGGCAGTGGACGACGGCGCGGTCGTGCAGCCCGCAGGCGCGCAGCGTGGCCGCGTCGTCTAGCAACACGTGCCCGTTGAATATGAGCCGCACGCGACACTCCGACGACAGTTCGGTTGAGAAGTGACGCCTGCACCAACGTAAATTCACATAAATATTGACCTCATCATCACCAGCTTTCTAATTATTTTTATGCCTTTCCTATAAATGGAATGACCCACCACGAGGGCCCAATGCGGATTGGTAGGTGCTAACGACTGCAGAGGCAGCCGAGACAAACGGCGAAACGTGTTTTCCGAATCACGATGGAGCGTCCATTAATCAAGTGATGTTTTTTTAGCCTAACCCATACTGATTCTGACAAAACTCAGATTTTGTATAAATCTTAGTCACAAGAGACGAACACCGTGTGGGGTGTGGCAGTTTTTTATATTACGTATTGTGAAAAAAAAGTATAATCTTTGTATTATGTAAATATCTACGTATTATGCTAGAAAAAACAAAGTTAAGTGTAGACATGACCTGAAAAATCTGGACGATTGGTCATCCTATTAAAAGTACCTAGCAATTTTAGTGTTATCAGTTGCTGTTATGCTTACTTACCTTGGTGACAACAATAATTTTGATCATGTGCAACATTTTACTAAGGGAATATGATTATTTTGTCAGTTGCAAATGTCATACTCACAATTTGAAATCCTTAAGTGGCTCATCCAAACTGCCCTCTACCTCTTTAAGAGTATCATTGAGGTATTTCAATTTTATCAAAATCATTTGACTATTGTTGATTTCAGGATTGTCTGTGTTTGAGGTAGTGCCATTGTCACTATTTGAACTGTCTATATTAACATTATTCTCTTCACTTCTTTTATTATCTACATTGGAAGCAGATGAAGGTATATTATTGTCTACATTCTCTCCTTTTTTCACTGATTTTGCAGATTTAGCAGTTGCATTATTTTCTGAAAACAAAATGTGTTTATATCATTGTTTTTTTTTATATATTGTTATTGATTAGATATTATACACAGCCAGGTCATAAGTATTGTCACACAGTAAAAACTTTTCTTAGAATGCTGACCACAAAAAAGTTTATTGAATTCGATTTTCGAATGGTTCATGAAAATAAAAATGTATACTTTTTAGAATTTTACTCATTTTTAAATATGGGGTGGACGCTTAAAGAAGACCGTGTTGCAGTTATTGCGTTGCATCGTTGTGGTAACCAATTCAAATTTTTGACATACTGAAAATTTTGAATATAACCAAAAGATTCGTTTATCGTACCATCAAACGATACAATGAAGACTTTAGTGTAGATGACAGGTCAAGAAGTGGTCGCCCTCGGTCTGTTAGGACTCCAGCAGTGGTAAAAGCTGTGAAGATACGAATTCAAAGAAATCCCAAATGTACGTAAGCAGAAACTGTTGGCCCTTCAGATGGGGTTAAGCAGAACCACGGTGAAAAGGGTGTTAAATGAAGACTTAGGGCTACAGGCATATCGAAGAAAAACAGGACATCGTTTGAATGCTCGTCTAATGGACCTGAGACTGAAGAGATGCCGCGCTATGTCGAAGCTGTACGCGGGAAAAAAGTATTGGGAAATTCTCTTATGAAAAAATTTTTACCGTAGAAGAGAGCTACAACAATCAAAATGATAAGGTGTACGCATACAGTAGTGAATAAGCGAGCAACCGTATTCCGCGTGTCCAACGAGGTCATATTCCATCCTCGCTCATGGTATGGTTGGGAGTTTCTTATTGGGGTTTAAAAGAGGTACATTTTTGTGAGAAAGGTGTAAAAACGAATGCAGTTGTGTATCAAAATACAGTCCTGACAAACCTTGTGGAACCTGTTTCTCATACCATGTTCAATAACAGGCACTGGCTATTCCAACAAGATTCGGCGCTAGCTCATAGAGCGAAGAGCACACTAGACTGGGTGGCGGCGCGTAAAGTCGACTTCATCCAGCACGAAGACTGGCCTCCTCCAGTCCAGATTTGAGTCCGTTAGATTACAAGATATGGCAACACTTGGAGGAAAAGGCGTGCTCAAAGCCTCATCCCAATTTGGAGTCACTCCAGATATCCTTGATTAATGAGATGCAGCCATAATCACCAAAAATTTAATTGCATTGAATAGGTTGCGTAAACTCTTTTGCTAGACATTCTGAGAAAATAAATAGGCAGTCGATTATCTTACCAGTAGGTCTGGTGAAGAACTCACAGCCAGTGGTGACATCAGCCTCCATGGCACTGACGATGCTGTCCATCTCCCTTATCTGAGCGTTGCTTGCAGGTTCTGCTTCCTCTTGTGTTTCGCTGTCATCACCAGTTGGGTCAGCAGCTTCTGTCGTGTTGCTAGGTGCTAAAATAATTAGATCAAATTCATTGTTCCTGTTTTCTCTAACAGGCTGGACAGATAGTGAAAGGAATAAGGGAATCCTCTCGAATTCTGGAATGCCCAGGAACACCATCACACTATGCTGCACTATAAAATGTAATAACAACAACATTAAATACCCGAAACACACCACATGCGCTCAAATATGTTTCAATCAAGAAGTGCTTGAACACCACTTAAGCACTTCATTGTTCGCAATCATGTGCGGACCCTTGAAAAGTCAAGATGCCGAACATCTCCATGTAAAAATGCGAAAAAAATACTTATAGTACGTCATAACTCCTTGACGCATTCGTTTTAATTAAGACCTTATACAGTATGCATTAAAAGTAACTTTAAATTTTTAACTAATGACTTGTATTGTTTTTGACTATGAGATCATCTTACGGAGCTCTATGGATTGTCTAATGTACCTTTTGGACACGATTTTGTTTGTGTTGTTATATCTAGAGTATTTAATATTGTTGTGTAATAAATAAATTAACTGACCCTTATTATTTATAATTAGTGAAATATTACACACTGCATAGTACTTAGTAAAAGGCTATTTTTTTATTAAAGTAAGATCAATTTCCAACTTTATTGATTAATCATTGAACACTCAAATATCAAACTTGTATATACTTCAGCTTAGCTATTTAATAATGACTTCATAGGCATTAAACTATTACTAGTACTTCTAAGCCACAACTATTTTTTTCTATTAACTTAGAAATAATTTTGTAGATCTACAATTTTGCAATGGAAATAATACAATATAGATTCTTGGATCAGTATCAGGCATTCCTCTTGCACAGTGGATCCATAAAAAAATAATATAAACAATTCTAGTATATTGGCTAAATTATGAGAAATTGCATCTTTTGGATTAATCAATGGAGCCAAGTGGCTACTAGCTCCTTCACACATCTGTGCTGTACTCGCAGATCCAAACTTGAAAATTTTCATTTCATTACGTACAATCAATCCTTCTGTAGAAATGCAGTCTGTTATTGTCTAACATGGCCATGTCGGCATCAATGATGCTGTCCATTTCTTGTAGGGGTATCACTCTAGAAGTGTCTCTGGTATCCTCCACCGCATCTGATGTGCTTACTGCTGCAAACATAATATTCATTGCTGTTCCTTCTTTGTAATATTGTTAGAAGCTGCTACTTGAAAGCAAAAATAGTTTATTTCTAAAATGTTTAATACTAATCATTACCTATGGTATCTGAAGTTGACGATGCTTGACTAGAAGTACTGGCTTGATTGTTTGCTATCATTAAATTAGGCCCTGAAATAGATTATGAATTGTTAGAAACACATAAACTCTAAGCAAAAATGCTCGATGAGTCACAATTAAAGTAGGTATAGAAATCACATATAAATATTTAATGGTTTTCTCAATACTATTGGTATTAAGAAAACCATTAAAAATAAAAGATCTGATTTATCACTTACTAGTTCTTATGCTGACAGTAACCGAGTGAGGAGCTCTTGACCGCATGACAACAACTGTGCGATAGCGACCAGGACGGGCATTGGTGGACCACCAAGCCAGTGCTCCCACAGCTAATACTAGCAACACACCCACAAATTGCACGACTTCATCCCCTATACCTTCTATGAGGGTCATTTTTTTCCTCACAATCTATAAAAACCAAGTATTATGTTTACAAACATATAATTAATAAATATTTACACCAATAAATATATTACTACAAGCCAAGAGCGAGAATTACGGCCAATAGGAAGATATATTGAGATTACTAAGCACTTGATCTCAAGACGAGTTCTAACAATATCCCGTCAAGGTCATGGAAATAAGCAAATCTACATTTTATCACATACCTCAATACTTTGTCCATACAATTTTCCGGATCCTAGTGGCAAAATATTAATAACAGATGGCGATTAATGATTCGTTGTCGCTACGTTAATGATAACAGGACATTGCATTATCAATCTGATTTTACAGCTGTCCAGCTCACTTGTTATTAAACAGGGTTTATAGTTCCACAAAATGTTTCACGTCCCAAATTGTGACACAATATTATCATAGACAAATTTTAAAGGTCTTTCCTTAGCTAAATCAAAATAGAATAAAGTTTTTCTGGATAATTAAGAAGAATTTTCTAATAAATGAGAAAAACGAAATGAGACGAATTTCGCGAATTAGTTTGACAGTTTTTTTTTTTTATTTCTTCGCAATTATTGAAAGGCAAAGATAAAGCCATGCAGCCATGATCGCCATCAGTTATAAATTAAGGGATGGATGCGACCTGACCATAGTCACAATGTATGAATTTATGTGAGGAGCGAGCAATAAATGAAGAATTTCGCTATGTAGAGTGCATGAGCGTGACGCGTGCCCAGTACCTACGGACTAGTAGGGCAGGGGCTCATTCACGATCCTGCATAAAGCATGCCTTTGCGACTACAGAAGCAGCCGAAACCAGCAGCTTAACATGTATTCCGAAACATGGAAGACCTCGATCGAATCGAAGTAATACATTTTTGATGAAAGTTGCTTATCTTCCACAATTTTAGACCGAATGCGCTGCCAAAAAAAGAGAAATGCTTCCAGACTGCATGTTTAAATATTACTTAACTTCTATTACAAAGTAAGTAGAGGAGCTCGATGGCGCAAATGCTTAGCGCGTTCGTTTGCAATCATTGAAGCTAAGCAACTTTCGCAGTGGTCGATCATTGGATGGGTGACCAAAATTTTACTATTTCGAGCTGCATCGTGCTTCGGAAGGCATGTTAAGCCGTTGGTCCCGGCCGCATCTGCGGTCGTTAGCACACACCAAGCCGCACCCAATCCATCATCATGGCCCAATCTCCCTATTCCATACGTAGGGAAGGCCTATGCCCCAGCAGTGGGGACATTAATAGGGTGGTGATGATGATGATGACACAGTGATGTCGATTCTGGCATGATTCTCTAAAGCTAAACTTAAATTTGACAACAGTGTATCCTTGTCCTTCTCTATACATAATGGAAAGGTGAGACTGATGTTAAAGGACATTTGGCAAAAATGTATGGACGCTGCATCCACGTCCGCCACGACTTAAAGTACACTTGTTTGAAAGGTATTATAGTCATAATCATCTGTGCCAAAGTGCATCAAATTCCATCCCGGGAGTCTTTAGTTATTTTAAATTAAATAGGCAGAAGTACCTAACCTACTATAGCAAACAGACATGAATGAAACAAGGGAATTAATTTAGTTAGTTAGTTCGACACTACATAGGGGGCCCAGGTATGGGGGTACTTCACAAGGTTCAAGGATGCCCCGTTATTCTGCCGCGCTAGAGTAAATCCAAATCCCCCCCTCTCTGGGGTTGGGGTTTTTTCAAACATTCTGTTAGTTACTTTGTAAAACGGAGCGACGCAAAACGCTTCGGAGAAAACATGATTCCAGTTTATCCATACTAATTGACAAAACCGATTATTCCAAAGTCCAAAGCGTGTTAGATAAATATCAATCAAGTGACAGAAAGCGCACAATCACAACGAAATAAGACGAGTCGACTATTTGCTACTGTAAGTCCTTCAGCCACCGTAAACCGTTTTAAGGTGTCTCAGAAAGAGCAAGCGCAGGATGGTCGGCAGGCTTTGTCGTATATTTGGTTGTATAGTACGAAATGGCATATTATTATGGTTACTAATAATAATAAAGGTACTATAAAATGAATTTATTTAGCTACTTAAATATGCCCATGTGTCATATCTTTTGACTACCAGGATATTTTTAAGGTGTCATATCTTTTGACTCCCAGGATATTTTTTTACGGTATCATAATAAAAAAAGACTAGTTTTTCATAGATCTATCGATTCATACTAATTACATTCTTGGCGGTGCTGGGTACATTTTGCCCATTGTCCTTTAGTTTTAAGTTTAGAGAATCACACCAGAATCGACACCAGTGTGTATAATACACCATAATTGTCGTGTGAGGCGGGTCTTTATGTTTCCTTAAATATGATTGAGCGAAGCTATGGATGGTTCATGCGTCATGCTCGTGAACTAGTGCTGCCAGCGCAGGTGAGTCTGCATTATACTACTTTATTTATTTATTTAATCTTCATTGCCTTAACAATGCAAATGACGGACTTAATGCCAGTATAGTAATATCATTTTATTATACAATTATACCTAATATTTACACTTTTTGTAAGTATACTGTATGACATAGCAATCAAAGTGTGAGTGGACATTGTATTGGTAGCGACATGAATGTATGTAAATGTTGCTAACTCGTTTTCATAAATGCTGACGAGTTTCTTGCGCCTATTCTTCTCATCAGCTAAAAGGTGTCCCGAATGGATGTTAGGAAAAATATGTATGCCGCAAATGCTAGTAACAACGCGTTTTGTTTGACATCTTCTTTATAGCAGATAGAAGTTCCAATTTATATTTTGAGGAGCAATTCTAGTCGCTACATGTAGTGATTTACATTTTCTAAATAATAGAGTTACTTCTTGTTAGCTCTGCCATCCTAGCTACTAGAAAAACAGAAAAACTCTAGTTCGTTATTTTGTGGTTCATTTATTATTTCTCATGTAACGTCTGCTGCGGTCTTGCAATGTGTGTAGTCGGCTGTCTTGCAACGTTATCCAAAATAATTAGGCAATCAATATTTTATTCATAAAAAGAAACCCTTTATTTACAATCGTGGCCATTTACATATAAATATACCTAAGTAACAAAGCATAGGTACCTGTAAGACTAACTAACATAGGTAACTGTAAGATCAACCCAATCGGAAGTGTGTATACATAAAACACTATCGGGTAAACTTAGTTCTGCTGCATATGCAATTTATAAAATAAGACGGCTTACAGATGTCGACACTGCTAGGACAATATACTTTAGCTACTTTCACAGCATCATGTCATATGGCATTCTATTGTGGGGCACGGCCGCTGACATTGAAACAGTTTTTATTATTCAAAAACGAGCTATAAGAGCTACTTACCGCTTAGGATCTCGAACTTCTCTTAGGGATGTATTTAAAGAAATAGGTATAATGACTGTTGCCTCTCAATACATTTACAATTGTATACTGTTTGTGCGTCAGACCATAAATTTATATACGAGGCGCGATGATGTACATAATTTCAGTACCAGAAATAAAGACAAACTCAAATTGCCACCGTTGAGACTCCAAAAGGTTCTTGGTTCATTTGTGGGTCAAGGTGTATGTTACTATAATAAAATACCAAAAGAAATAATAAATTTACCTTTTAATAAGTTTAAAGTGCGTTGTCTCCTTAAGAAAGGTTTTATAAATGATAAGGCACCTTCGGCTTAATATAATAGACTAAGTCGTTTTACTTTGCTAATTTGGTTAAAAATTGTTAGTTATACTTAACTTATTGTTAATTAATAATATTAATGTGATGAAATATTACATCTACACATGTCTTAAGTTTTTGATGTCATCTTTCAATGACGACACTGTATGAAACAAAACAGGGAGAAAAAATAGCCCTTGCTGAGTTTCTTGCCGGTTCTTCTAGGTACAAGGTCTCCCGCCGTAGATTTACGAACCGATGGCGTAGCGTTTGACTTTCACAAGAGCTTGTAACAGCCTGGACTGAATAAAGGAGTTTGAGTTTTGAGTTTATAAGTCACTGGCCGGACTCAAAATTTATATATAATTAGTAGCTGTCCCAGCGAACTTCGTACCGCCATAAAATTAGGTGTTGGTGGTAGAAGGGTGAAAAAAGGGTTGTATGTATTTTTGTATGATGTATCATAAAAAAATAAAAACAAAAAACGTAGTCAAAAAAAAATGTAAGGGCGGACCACCCTTAACATTTAGGGAGATGATAAATAGATGTCCGATTCTAAGACCATACACACCACTGACGTTGCATATAAAATTTCACGAAAATCGGTCGAGCCGTTTCGGAGTAGTTCAATTACGCACACCGTGACACGAGAATTTTATATACTTATAAGATTAGTGTAATTCCAAAATTAAAAATGTTCAAAAGTCAAAATCGGTGGTTTGATCTTATCTAATCTAATCCGATCGATTTCGCCAAGTTGTCTTTTTTCGTTTGAACCATACGGTCATTACGCGAGACGTGGCTTACCTCCACGTATGCTAAACCACGTTACACTTTTTATGCAGGCAGTTTACTAAGACGAAATATTGAGGAAAACGATCATTTTTTTAGAAATATGAGTGAAGTTATTGACCTTGGTCCTTCTTCTTGAGCTCCTATGAGTCACGAAACGAGATTCAATTACATTTGTGTGTATTGTGGGTGATGCCATTGCATTTCCAACGGCATCTTTACGGCGATTTAGTCTAATTTTTTTTAGATAATACTATAAACTTAATTTACTCTTGTCAGTTGGATTAAACGACTTTCGAATTATTGTTATTCGTTCTTTAAGGGGCGTTTGTTGTTGATGAGCACAGGAACTTGTCCCCGTGTCACAAATGTTAACCTAAAATTTTGGCTAAACCCTCACATATTTTTAAATCTTAGACATTGATTTACATGCACAGGCTTTGTGCTTAACTTAGCAAGTAAGTACGTTGAAACTATGACCCTCATATTCACTGCGTTGTTTGAGTGTTCTGAGATATTTTTTATGTGAAAAGTGCGGCGAACTAGCTTAAGGTTCCTTTGGTAGTTAACGCCATTGCCTCCTAGACTATAGAATTGCAATACCGTTCAGTATCTCTAGTGCGTTGCCTACCCGAACTCCATCCCTAAGCTTCTTAAAGTCATAGTACCTTATTCACCAACGGAAACAGAAAACCATCCCAGTAGTGTCATTTTACTTTAGTCTCCTGTAAAGTTACTATCCCACGCGGGTGCTCCAATTCGGGCGGAAAAACCGCACTGCTCTACCTCTCATCAAAATAAATGCAATATGTCTGTTTACTATTTTGTTCGCTATCGCAATGGTCGCAAATAATAAAGTAGTTATCAACGTAAAATCCTGTTTAAGGCACTTTCTTGATTTTCACTTTTTTGTTTAAGTGTGTTCCCTAATGCTTATGAAAAAAAACGGGCCAAGTGCAAGTCAGACTCGCGCACGAAGGGTTCCGTAGGTACAATTATCA